TGCGAATTGCTTGCCAGGTGAATTATTCTGCGTTAAGGGACCAAATGGTGTCTTGCCAAGCTTATGATGGTGAACTTTTCATTCGGTAATTTCTCTCGGATTTGTCTGTTCTTGTTTTTGTTGTTGTTGTGTATGCATTGGAATGTAGCAACACCACCAAAGTAGCCTGTCCGAAATGAAGATAGGAGGCATCCTCATCAAAATCAGGTCGTGATCAATCCACTGTTGGATGAAGGCCTCCCCAAGCCGTCGACATATCTCGATACAATAATCCACCTAGCATCAGCTGCACACGAGCTGATTCCATAATTATTAATGAGTCAACGGGTACAGAATTCATAATACAGGGTGTTTTGGGTTAGATCGTGTAAATATATGTGTCGTTAAACCCGACACAGCCAATAAGTAAGGTTTATCACGTAAACAGAACATGCCAATGTGTTACTCGTACAGCACACCGGTGTGTTGGAGAGCAAAGCCACAACATTTACAATCTGAGTAATTACAACTAGTACTCTTAGGTTTTTTCGGTAAAGTCACGTAGGTAAAAAATAAATAATAGAAATAATAGAAAAAATAATAGAAATAAAATATTATTTGTTTTTATTATTTATTTTAACCTACGTGACTTTACCGAAAAAACCTAAGAGTATGAATCCTTGCAGTCACGAAAGCTTCAAATCTAGAATTACAACTAGCTTCATCCAGCAGTAATTACTGGTTGGCTGTGTCGGCTGGTGGCGTGTTTAACAACACATTTCTATATTTAGCGATCTAACCAAAAAAAAACTTTAACACTTAGGCTTTCACGACCAGTATCACCCATAATAGAGGTTTTTGGGTTAGATCGCGTAAATATAGAAATGTGTCGTTCAAACCTGCCACCACCCGACACAGCCAACTAGTAAGGGTTGCCACAAACATAACGTGCCAATTCGTCACTAGTACAGCACTAGTGTGTAGTGTATAGTGTAGTGTATAGTGTAGTGTACTAGTACAGCACACCGGTGTGTTGGAGAGCCAAGCCACACCATTTTCAAACTGAGTACGACGTTTCGCCAATAATTGCAATTAGCTTCATCAGGCGACAGCCAGATTTGTGGAGAAATCCTCCTGTTTCGTTCCTTAAATATCGGGATATCACGGATGATATTGGTCGCGAAAGCCAACCACGTGCTAAACTGGGTACAGAATCGATCACCTGTGAGTTTAAGCAAAGGACACCGGGAGTGAACAAAGAACCAGATAATTCGCAACGCACGTGTTGTTCAGCCCTTGTGTGTAAGCCCACTGCTGGATGAGGGCATTCCTATGCCGTGTCGGTCATGGGGTCTTATTTGCCCAATACTCTCCCACGCTGGTCTGTACAGGTTGGTGAAAGCGTGGAGCATAGAAACACGGTACAACAATGGATTTTGACCCCACGGATTTTTCCTACCACCACGTAAGCACGTCCGCCTATTCCTGCATCCTGTCTGGAGGGCGAAATGTAAGTCATTCAAGCACCGTCCAAGCTCAACTCTGTTTGAACTTTCACGAGACGGGCCGCATTCCTGCCGAATTGGTCATAGGCATTCAAAATGCGTTTTCATCTTGAATGCGGGTATTGTGTTGTTAACGAAAATTTGACAAAACGAGCGATGTAGCAACGCGATTCCATGAATATGAGTCACGACCACGTATACACGTGAATTCAGGTAGGCTCGAGTCATCATCATTATCTTCATCATCATCTTGTGGTCTTGCGTAACGTGTCTGATCAAGGGCTAACACGAAGCAGTCACTGCACGTGATTGATTTACGTGTTCGCGTCATTCATTCACGGCTGGTTGTCAGACTGGAAGTTCAGTTTGACACCTTCACTTGAGTCAGACAAAAGAGAAACGTTCCTAAGCATACATTACATTTTAAAGAACGTTCTGACCACCCTATAGGTACGTTGGTATGCACAATGCAGCAGTGCTAAAGAGGAAGTAACTTTAAGGCTACGTTCACAGTAGTCTATGAATAGTGTTTACCGAGCTCCATTGATAAAAGTGAACCGGGATACACATTATACAGAAGAATGTGTTGGAGTGCTTTGGGATATTATTTTAACTGATTCATAAATTACATAATTTTTGGTCATATCGTGTAAATGTAATGGCAATGTTGATGACAGAGCCAGTCAAATAAAGATGCTATGCCAATTGATTTATCAGCAAACCCGGAGGAACATTTTTACTATGTCTACGGTATTACGGTACTGCGTCCATCAGGGATGGAGTTGGGGTTGTCAACCCTTTCGAATTTGCCAGGAGCCTCGACTGGAATTGTCATCGAGCTCCCGGTGATTATTATTGAAATCTATCCAGGAGATTTCAACACAGCAATACCCCGGTTTACGTCGGAGATGCGTTCCTGAAAGGTGCGACGGCGGATATCGAAACGACGTTGCTGAACGACGTTTCGTAGAGGATTTCATTCGGCATCATCAGGCGTTATCAGAGGCTCGGCTCTTTCCCCCACGTGGCAACTTGAAAGTGGGGTTCGATATACGGAATTTCGCTTTACGTACAACTTTCTAGGAGCGTATCTGTTCCGTACATCGAAGGATGCCCATACTGTATTAACGACTGTGGCAGGACACATAGCTAGAAAGGATGATATATGTGTGTATGTATGTTGACCTTCTTTCGCACCGTACGTAGCCAACCGTGCTCGTCGGAGATGCGGGGGGAAGGACAACAAACTAAACACAAAAAGCAGTTCTAAATAAATGAGTTACCGATCGAGGCTTCCTAATATCGGATTGAAGAGCGTTCCAGACGGCCGCAGAAACGCGTCTTTGTTCGATGCCCAGCCAGAATCCGCTGCTGTGAGGATGACCGGAGTTTGCGTGATGGTTAATGCATCTTGACGAGATCAGCGAAGGTAATGTGGTCAATTTGTGGCAATCACTTTGTGTGTTGAGTCGAGACTAACGACAGAATGGCAGCAAAGGAGTGAACACAGGAGAGCGGGCGAACGGGTGAGATTAGATCATGGACAAGGTGTCAATTTTGATTTAAAGCTTTGGTGACTGCAGGGATTCATATTCTTGGTTCTTTCGGTAAAGTCACGTAGATAGAAAAGTAAACAAATGTTATTTTTATATAAAATTTTTAATTTATTATTTTTATTTTCTATCTACGTACCGAAAGAACCAAGACTATGAATTCCTGCAGTCACGAAAATTTTCAGTCAAAATTTGGCTGCTGCAAGTTGCAGATGACGAAGACGTTTCCCAGCAATGTATTCATTGTGTGAACAAGTGCCAAAGTTTCGTCTTTCCTTCTCCACACAAAGCTCCTCTGGATACTCTGTTGGAAACCCCCGCCTTCTCGTAGGGCTGGTGGTGGTGGTGGTTACAACACTGAGCCGGTTAGTTGTGGTTGTGTACTTCCCCATCTCTCTTTCTCGTTCTATCGCTCTTGCTCCACCACTGGCCATGTTCACATCCCCCACGAGCATTTCCTGTTGATTAATTGCTTCACTTTCTCTCTCAACAATGTTGGCTGCGTAACGGTGCGAAAGTCGTCCAAATCACTGGGATTTGTCACCATTAATTCTAGATTTGAAGCTTTCGTGACTGCAATGATTCATATTCTTAGGTTTTTTCGGTAAAGTCACGTAGGTTAAAAAGAAATAATAAAAACAAATAATATTTTATTTCTACTATTTTTTCTATTATTTATTTTTTACCTATGTGACTTTACCGAAAAAACCTAAGAATATGAATATTTTTTACAATGTTGGGTGGACCCAACCGCTCACTCAACCTCGTGGCCACAACATCTGGGCCCTGTGGCACCGTCGTTCAAAAATAAAACACCTCGCGTCGTCACTTTCATTTGTTGAGACCCAAAGACTTATTGGGGAAAACTTTCTTCAATTTTTCTTGTTCTTCTACTTCTGGTTTTTCTTTTGGGTCAGCATTGAATTTTCCCTTTTTAAACGCTTGCATAATTTTGATTATTCCCTTTTCTCTAAGTTAATATTATGGTTTGCGAATTAACTGGGCAGACAATCGTGCGTGCCAGGTTGTTCGAGGCGTGTGAGGCGATGTGGAAGGGAGCAAAGAGAATTCGAGTTTCAAGTGAATTTGTTTGCCCAGATGCCAACTCAAGGGGTCGAGATGAGCCTCATCTGTAAGAGCGACTTGGGGTCGTCAAAATAATAATAATAATAATAAACTAATAAAACACCTGGCGAAGTACGGTCATCATCCAGCAGTGGATCGACAAACCACTAACCCTGAACGCATAGCGCGTTTCACTTTGTTCACTGGTAACGTGGTGATCATCTTCAATTGATCAATTCGCGTCATTACTATGCATTACTACTTAATATTCATGATCACCAAGACACGCCCCTAATGAATATTCATGAGCAACGAGACACGCCCCTAATTAATATTCACGATCAACGAGACACGCCCCTCATTAATATTCATGATCAACAAGCCACGCCCCTAATTAATATTCGTATTACAAATACGTGCGGATGTTGAGGGCGTGGCCTGACCATATATGGTATACAGGGCGGCCATGTTAGGTAGAGGAAAAACACTCTTTTAATAGTCGAGTCTTGATGACATCACTACATTATTTATACGTTTTACTAAATTAAAATAAACACTCAATAGTTTACATCAGCAACGGGCGCGCAGTCAATAACAAACACAAATATTAACACAGTAGAGGCTTCATTACAAAAATAAAACGATATACGATTAATACCTTTTGTTGTTGTTGTTGTTCACCCTCACTCAAGATGGCCGAATAGGCGTCCGGATAGGGGGCGTGGAAAGACGCCCACGTGGTAAAGTCCCCCCCCTGCCCCGCCCCCCTCCACCCCCGCCCCACCCCCCTCCACCCCCGCCCCACCCCCCTCCTCATCCGCGTTTCCCGCCCACAGCTCCCGCAGAACAGCAGCGGCAGTAGCGGCGGCAGCAGTAATAATATTAATAAATTACATTTAAAATAGGGGAATAATCAGAGGGAGGAAAGTCCCCTCCTCCTCCTTCTTCTTACTCGTCCTCAAGCCCGGTGGCGTTTTTATTTATTACAGACGAGCGCGGTGGCACACGGGATGTATTTGCTGCGACTGCTGTGTTGAGTTTCGAGTGAGTTGCACGTGGGTCTCGAATACGTTTATTCAACAACTCCAACACATTTATTCAACAACTCTACTCTACCACATTTAACTCTACCACATTGATTCAATTCTACCACATTGATTTAACTCTGTCGAATTGATGAACTCTACCACATTCAAATCCACCACATTTATTCAACAACTCCACCACATTTAACTCTACCACATTCATTTCACTCTACCACAATCATTGAACTCCACCACAATCAACTCCACTACATTTAACTCCGCTGTCGAGAACTTCTCGCTTAATAAAACCTCTTCTTTAATAGCACTGCGTGCTTCATTTGAACAAGTGTGGGATTTACTTTGATCTAATCTAACAGTGTCCTCTAAACGTTACACACGTTGCTAACTTGTCTATTGACTTACAACTAACTTGGGCCTCTCTCTGGATTTTATTAACGTGATGGTATAAAAATACGCGTAGGTTATATTTTTGTTACAGATTTTATCGCTCCATTAAATGTGATGTGCAAGTTGTGTGCTTAGGATGCTGCTGGAGCACAAACCCGCGTGCGTTAATATACATAACGTGTTCTGTATTGTGTTTGATTAATGCCTATTACTTATGACAAGTCTATATTTAAGCTCTTTTACTGCGCTGTCTTATTATATTCGAATTGATTCTGCAGTGTACAAGCCCTTGGTCTATCCACCGCTAGACTGAAGACCTCAATGCACGCCGTCTCGGCCACGGGGGCTTGTTTGACCATACTTCACCACGCTGGTCAATGCCTATTTGTGAAGTTGATGCTCCTGGCACCGCTTCACAGACATCTCTCGCCACTGATTCATAGCCGAGTGCGCTAACCGTTGCGCCACCGCTCCTCTCGCACATGTTATCTTGAATAACGTTAATCGCTGAACATAATCGTTCAGGAGTATAGTACTGTACTTTAAATGTAATCGATAACACATCTGTTAATGCGGGTGGGGGGGGGGGTGACGCAGTTGTTGGCGTTCTGCATCCTAAGTTCGATTCCCTGCCACTGCTGACTTCATTGACGAATCTATGAACCGGTCCTTGTGTGTGTGACCTCCTACCTTGCACCCCCCTTCCCCACCACTCGACCAGCGAAGTATGGTGAAATGTAACCGACCTGGTTAAGCCAGCAGTGGATCGGTGAAGCATTGTGAACTACTTGTACTTATCTTCTTGGTTCTTTCGGTAAAGTCACGTAGAAGGGAAATAAAAAAAAAACCCATAATAAAATAGTGAGAATTGTATTTTAATATCTTTTATTTTAATTGTATTACTATTTTATTATTTCCCTTCTACGTGACTTTACCGCAAGAACCAAGAAGATGAATTCCTGCAGTCACGAAAGCTTTAAATCTATACTTGTACTTACTAATTGTCACGTGCTGTGTGCGGTTTGTGTGTGTGTGTGTGTCGCAGCTTTCCACATCTCGTTCGCCATGGGGCTGAGTAACAGCTCGCAAGGCCGCGTGGGCCACGACCTCAGGTCCCATGCCATGCCCATCGCCCTGCCCATGCCCGAGCCCGGCGAGTTAGAAGACAAATTCTCGCAAGTCCTGGTGAGAAGCTGTATGTGGTGTGTGAGTGTGTGAGACAGCATCGTGGTTTCTTTGAGACTCGACATGTATTTATATTTGCACGTTCTAACCTGAAAAAAAACCCTCTATTATGGATAATATTGGTCGCGAAAGCCTACGCGTTAACCCTTTCTTGTGGTGAATGTCAGGATTTCGTGGTGACAGCTCATAAGGTGTGTGTGTGTGACATCCTCTTTGGCCTGTGTGTTGTGAAGGCCTTAAACATTGTGAAATCCTCAAGATAGTGTGACACCTTTAAGAGATGTGTGGGAGACCATTACGGTGTGTATGAAAGCTTCTTGTATATGTGAGAGTCTCATGGTGTTATACCTTTTAAGGTGTACGTGTAAAATCCTTATGGTGCATGCTAGGACCCTGTGGTGTTCGTGATAACTTTTTAAGGTGTGTATTCAAAGGTGTATTTCAGGGTGTTCTGGTGTGCGAGCTACTTGTGTTTTGTGTGAGTCCCGTATGGGCTGTGTGAGTGTTAGACCCTCTAGGTTCATGAGACCCTAAGTGTGTTTGTGACTGCCATGGTGCGCGAGGTCCATGCAGTTTATGGAGGACCTTCACTGTGTGTATTGCACTTCCATTGTGGTGTTCTCTTAAGGTGTTGTGTGTATCTGTAGTGTCTGGAAGGCCAATGTTATTGGAGTTCTTCTGGTCAGTGCTTTTGAGATTGAGATGCAAATTCTTAAAGGCTCATCCAACAACTAGGTGAAAAAGCCTACTTAATTTCTAATGGAGACCTAGGGCCCAATAGCAAGGTTACTCCCTCAAGCAGTGACTAAATCTATTGTCCAGCTTAGTGGAACCTTTAAAATCCGCTTGCAGGGATGTGCAATTTGCATGTGTATGAAAGCTTAGGTGTGCACGTCCTGGTTTTGTGTGCCCGTTCATGCCATTATACATTGTCATGCATGTAAATAATGTTACACGTCCTGCGTGCATATCCGCCTTGATCCAGTTGTCACCAAGTAAAAGGTACTTTTTGGATCCACGTGTGTGCTGTGTGAGCTTCCATCTGATAACAAACACTAACGGAACTTACCCCAACAGTCTATATGGTGGTGTCTTTGTCTATGCACGCATATGTAGGGAGCGGTGACATTGAGCACTGCGCTTTGAGCCGAGCGATCAGCATTCAATTCCTGGCCATGGCTAACTGCAGTGGCGTTTCTGGGCCTCCCCTCGGTTGACTCGGCCTTAAATGTCTAGATGACCATCTGGGAGTGGTGCTGCCCAAAGCATACCCTCATTCACTGAGCAGTCCTTCACAGGTGTTCACTGACCAGAACTTGCCCTAACAGTCTGATAATGTGTACACAGCGGATCGTTGTCTTGGACCACGATGTATTTTCAAGTGTCGCATGCAATAGCAGTGCTTGTGATGCTAACGCTTGCCGAATCCTCACCTCGCGCGAACCCCAAGCATTGTAGAAGGAGCTGGGCGGGGGTACTCCGCTTTTCGCAAGGCTGCCAAGCGCAGCCTCTGGAGATTCTTAAGCTTCCCCTGAAATGACAAAGTCAGAAAATTTGCCACAGGATAAATAAATGCGATGCATTGTTATGACTGATAAAACTTCACCTTGTGGCGGTAAGAGTTGGCCCTGATAATACCACTGCGCGTAACGACTGGCATTTTGAAGCCGGTTGAATTTGCCGTTAGAAAGTGCAGTGCGGGTTTTTAAAAATAAAAATGTGTGGTTGTGTGTGTAAGCGCTGAGCAGTTGGGTGGCCTGGCAAGTGAGGTTGTGCTTGTCACAGGGTCGTTTTGTTTGGAGTTGGCAGTTCAATTCCCGCAGCTACCCGGTAATGTCTGCAGGGGGAATTAACAAAGTAAGCCGTGTCCCGCAAAGTGGATGTTGAGAATCACATGATATCACTCGCTAGAGTTAGCTCCCTGTGTGCGAGAAGCCATGACCTGAATTATCGTGATCGTTTTGCCAGACTTGTTCAAATCCCCCTCTGGAGAGTGGAGCACTGGCTGAGCCTTTGTTGAGACGGAAGAATATTCTTGCCTTCGTGTCGATGTGTATTGCATCTTTACAGCAGCACAAAAAAAAAGTGTATATAATGCCTTAAGTCTTGAGTGAGTCAGAACGGTTACATCATTAACATCTCATCTTCCCTTGGAACCAAATGTGACTAAGGATTTCCTGTATTGCTCAATTGTCGTCGTTTGTCTGTGTTGGAAACACAACTCCTCCCACACTGCGGTTTGGGAATTATTGGACTCTCCCGTGATTGTCTGAGGATGTGTGGAGGGGGGGGGAAACAATGCAATGGCTGTCTTACAATGCGATTCCCATTATTAGATGGGTGGCGGCTCTCTTGGTGTGGAATGTGAGCTGGTTGATGGGACCCTAAAGGTTTTGGGGTAACTGTATGCTGATGGATGCACATGATGGCTATTCAAGGCATCTGAGTGAAGCCAAGCGGTGTCTTCACTTAATTGAAAGACCCGATACATTTTGTCTGAAAAAGGACCCCATCTTGTTTGACTTATAGGAATCGATCTGTCTGTCTGTCTCGGTCCTCATTCTCTGGCTGCTTTGTGTGCGAGTTGTGTATTCAGACCAGTCTGTTTTGTCTTGCAGATTTCATGCAAAATGGTTGTGCTGGTCTGCGGATTTAGATTAGTTAAATACAGAGGTGTACTGAAAGACCCATAATTATACATTTATATTTCCAGACAGTTTTAGAGTTCACCCTAAGGCCTGGCCACAGGAGGTTTGATGGAAGCAAATCCATTTACGCATCCATTCCTAACCGAACTGGACAAATTCATAGTTGTAAATTAGTTTCAGGTTTTTATTTTATGGCAGGTGAGGCAACATGCCTTGTAACCAAGTACTTTATAATAATAATGATGCCAATTATTGAACCAGGAAATCGTCAGTGGGTCTTAAGACTTTTTCCATGTTTTTTATTTACATGTCTCATGTAACGGGGTCACGTGATCCTTGAAGCAAATAGTGGTCTGCCTCTGCATTCACCACAGCATTAAAACACAGGTTTTTCTTGATTTGATTCACAATAACGAATCGCGACAATTTCATGAATTGCCTTTGGCAGTAGAGAACAAATACTTTCACCTCTTGACATTCAGTATGGAGTTGGTCAGTTTTCTCGAGCGGAAACCTCCTGAAAAAGCATTGTCTTATCGTCGTCACGCGATTTCTCTTCGGTGACTGTTGGTGTGACTTGCGTACGATTACTTGTGTGGCATCACAGGAAAATAACAATAACCACTGTGCAATAAACGTGACGGTATGTCAGAGTGGGCAAGTGAAAACGGCTTGCCAAGGTCTGGTATCTCTGTTTGAAGAAAAGCCATAAGTTCATCAGATTCTAAAGGGCTTTGGGTTTAATACTCTGTGGATTTACAGTGCACTGCATGTGTGGAAGTTGTGGCTTTAATTTCTCTGAAGCGGTTCCATTTCGCTGTGCAGCAAAGTTTGCATTTCCCTGATGCAATCACATTTTCTCTGTGTATCATCACTCGATTTTGTTTGTGTATATGTTTCTGATTATTCGGACTAAGTGTGCACTTGGCAAACTGTGCAGGCATGACAACACAGAAAGGCTGCTGCTGTGAAGAGGGCTTTGCTGTTTTGGGGAATATAAAAATAATACATTTTCATCGTCAGCCATGTTCAGTCCACTGCTGAATGCAAGCTGCCCCAAGCTGTTGTCAACTTCTCACGGCCCCGCAGTAGTAACTAATTGAACATTAGCGGGGGTAAATTTATATGCCTGTACAATTCATCGCTCTTTTGCTCCAAGCTTGTAAGCCATTTGTGTTCGTAGCCGGTGGATGGGGAACTCTGCTGTTTGATGTTCGCAGGGCTTGGGCGCTATTGTTGGTGGGTTGTGGGAGGATGGCAGTGGCCTACTGAACCCAATTGCCCACTTTGTGAGCATAGTGAGAGATGATACTGGCTGTTGAGGCTTCCAGATGTGTGTGATGATTAACTCGCAGCCCCGCTGTTGATGGGAACCGTTATTCGTTCACTCCACTCATGTTACTGTCATGTGACGAATATTCTTCTTGGCAGTGCAGGTGGTAAAGTGCTTCCTCTACCTTTCGGAATATAGGTCACTTGAAAGAATCTCAGAAGTAGCTCTGTAATATCCACTTGTATTTAGATTGGTGGGATACATGTAGAAGCTTTGAGTATATAAGTGGATCACCTTCTGCTTTGCCATCCTCCCAATTTTCTCATTGAAAACAAGGGCCATCGTCCAAGATCTTAGCATTGTATGATGTTCACTTACAAGGCAGTGCTTGTTAGTGACGCTAGTTAGACGAGGTTTGATTTTTACGAACCGTAATAATACATCACTTTGTGCTGCGAGCGTTATGCATTCTTCAATTAGCAAACGGCACAAGCGGACTTTGAGTTCCTTTAATGCCAAGCTCACAAAAAAAATAAATGTGCGTCAAAATAGCCTTTGGTCCTACGATCACTTACAAAATAATGGCCTTGCTTGTTATGATTTTGCATGGGAGGAAAGTGGATTTTCGAGTGGGTGTTTCATACATAGGAGACTATTGAAGTCGGCTTGTGTGTGTGTGCGTGTCAGTGCGTGTGACTATGGGTTGTGTCTGCCTGCACGTTACAGCGCAGATAAAGATTCTTAAGACGTCAGAAAGTCAGCCACTGATCCATTTTGCGCAGAGTTGGATACCTATCGCACCCGCTCACCAACGTATATAAGCATTCACCGATGCTTCGGCTCACATCTCCTCTTAAGCTTATGATACATGCGTTTAATTGTGCACGTAAGAATGAATTTGGTTTCAATTTGTGTGTTAGGAATGGCAACCAAAGGGGAAAAAGCACCTGAGAAGACCATCGTGTAGATGGAGCCATGAGATGGGTTAATATGCAGGAGTGGGATGGATAGTGGTGTCGCAGGACCATGAGGCATGGTGATGGCTTGGGGAGGCCTTTATGCACATCTTGACGACTATAATTTGAATAATTGGGAATGGTAGGGGGGTTAATGAGAAATCTTTACATCTGCAGGCCTTTTTCAATCAACGGCGGGATGCTGTATTGGCATTGGGGTTTGTTTGACCCTACTTGACTGCACTGGACAGGACTGGTCAGTACGGATTGGTGGAGGGAATGAGCCAGGATCAATTTGCACGTCACTCCCCGCTTATGTTAGCCATGGGAGGGAATCGAACTTCCCCTATCGGGTTAATGGCACAGTGCTCTAACTGCTGTGCCACTGCTCCCTCCCCAAATATTTACATGCCTAGTAGCAAATGTAACGTGACATCACTGACACCGCGATTAACCTTCGTCTCACACGGTTTAAGATTATTATATATAGAACTGTGTACTTCTCACTGAAACAGTATGCAGAGTATTTATGATTGGGTTTGGATACTATATCAGGTAGTGTGGATTGTAAACGTTATCCTGTTTTGCCAGTCCGCACCAAACTTATTTTGAAATAAAAGGGCCATGTACATGTGTTAAGCAAGTGTTGTTTGCAATTACCTATGAAGGCCAGCACGGTTGAGGATTGGGTGATGTGTAAAGTCGTCTCATTCATGGCACTTTTATTTGGTCTAATTTTGAAGTTTTGAAGGTCGAGGCTTTGGTCATACAGTATTCCAATTAGACTCCAGTGTCGTGCATGTTCCAGAGTTGAACCCAAGGTCATTGAGGTTGTAGGGCATTGCTCCAACGACCACTACAGTAAATCTTTCCGTATAGACAAAGATATTCCATGTAGCCTCCATAAATGGTTGAGACAACTGCTGTTAGCAGTCACCTATTAAGGCTGGCATGGCACACGAGGATGTGGCAGGCCAGCACCACTCCCGGCTGCCTTTGTCTCCCTTGTGCTGATGCTTAGACACTGCACCAGGTATTCATTTAAGGCTGAGTCGACTTAGAGGATGGACAGGACGGGTTCAGATACCGCTCGCCACTGATGGCCATTGTCGAGATTCAAATTTAGTTCGCCGGCTTCATAGCACAGAGTGGTATACACTGCGCCACCGTTCCCTTCATGAACATACTTGCTCAAACTGACTACGTGAATACATTCAGGTGTGCATACCTTCACAAAGGCACTTGCCTTAGCATGCACACGCACTGATGTGTTTACAGGTGCACGCAGACCGCAGAGCCGTCAGAAAAGGAATTAATCTCGAGAAGGTCTTTCTTTTAGCAAACTTGTGCAGTACCCTTAAACAAATTATGCCCATGGCTAACCTAATAAAAACACACTGATTCATAATAAAATACAAACGATTATTTTTAGCCTTTCTTAACCTGCTTTTGGATAAAGTCACGGGAGTTGGTGAAGGTTGGAACCTGGACCGCTTCAGATATCACTTACCACTGATGTTAGCCATCGTCAGGAATAAAACTCGGGTTGCTGGGTTCATAGCGCACTGCGCTATACACTCTGCCACACTCCTCAGGCTTATCATCATAATAATGTAATTTATTCATGCAGGATAGCTTGCGTTACTGAGTCCCCAAGATTCTTTCACGAGAGTCCTGTATTGCGAAAGTTTTGACCAGTTCAGTTTAGGAGGCTATTGAGTGAGGGGTGTATTAATCAAAAAAATAATACCTGGATAAAATCCGTAACGTACAAGGTGATAACACTCAAATAACCACTCGGATGGGGTCACAATCCCTCCGTTGTACTGCCACAGTGCTCGGCCAACGCGCAGCCCAGTGCGTCTGGCAGTTCCGCAAACTTTAGCCATCAATCATCCACTGTCTCAAATGTCCCTAATTGCAGGCGTGTGCCGCACGCCCAGCTCCTGGCAGGCATGCCGAGCTCCACTTACGCGAAGCAAAAGTTGTTTTGTTTTCATCCGCTAAGTTGCACATCTGCCTCTTTATTATCCAGGTGACTTATTTATTTAAAACTCGGGCCCTTGGCAGACTGTGTATTGGGTGACTGTATTGGGCGGTGGCCCTGACCACGGAAGTGGTTCTCGGTGCCCTGAACGCAGCCTCGCTGGCCCACGTTTCCTCACCTGCAGGTGTTTTGCGCAGATTACATCTCGTGGCCCGATCCTGCAAGGCCTGGCATGCCATGTCGACGCACAGCCTTTGAAATCATGCCCATGCACCACGTGGAATGTTTTGCCTTCAAGCTTGCGCAAAGCAAAAGTATATATACGTGTTCTGGTAGCTTTGCAAAAACAAAAAGACTGCGAGTATTTTTTTTTCTTTATTCATTTGTCGTGTTTTGGTTCCACCGGCTGGTGAAGATGAGAGAGCCCTTTGAGACTGCGGCGGTGGCACTGTGTGTCTGTTGTTGTAAGCGAGCGCCGGGGACGGATTGGAATGTAAATTCGGGACTTCTCTTCAAAAGGAAAAACACTCGCCCACCAAAGCACATTCTTTTTGACTGATATATTAGGCAAGGTCATATAAGAGGGTTGGTTTCACAGGACCCCCACTATCTATCCATCCATTAATTAATTAATTCGTTATTTCCTAGTCATCAGCCATGGTTAATTAATCCACAGTTGGATCGGTGCCTCCCAAAATGTCGCAATCTTTTACAATCCTCTAATGTAATAATCTGCCGAGCACATGCACACAAGCTGATTTGATCACTCCGCCTCCTTGCTTGACGTCCTGTCAGATGCGTTCCATTTCTTTGACTGCCATTCCGTATTCTTGACCATCATTCATCACTTGCTTTTTCTTCTTTCAAGCAGGTAAGAACCCATTGAGACTACACAACCCTTTTTCAATGGTGGCCTGGGTTACAAAGGCAAATACGAGCATAAGAATGCTATTGCACAACTTTAAATTAAACACAAAACATCGTAAGCAAGACTCAAGAAAAACTAAACATTTTACTTGGGCGAATAAGTAACAAAGCAAAATACAATATACCGAAATTAATGATAAGCCGCTTTGTTGAGCTGTCATTTGTGGCGAAGTTGCTTTGGAAAAATAAGTTAATACCTCATTGGACTTTGTCTGGTAGGATGTGGATGGTTGAGTTTTATTTGTATGCGTTTGGGTGCTTTGTTTACCTTCCTTCGACTTGGCACTCCTATCGTGTTTTTGTGTTGTTTGTTGTTGTAACGTTCTTACCCGCCCCTACTGTATATCTGTGAAAAAGAGCTTCATATCTCATCGGATTCCTCCAATATAAATAATTCTGATTCTGATCATGAAAACAAAGATCAAAAGCTCTTCCACTCCAAAAATTCCAAGCTCTGTGGGGTGGGGGGGTGGCGGCGCCAGATTTTATTGCATGGCTATTAGCCTGTAATCTGGGTGAATTGCAGTAGCAGGTGGTAATGAAAAGTCCAGAGAAGAGGATGGGGAAAGCCGCTGCCATTGTGAGGGGATGAGGGGGGGTAAGTGAAGAGGGGTGGTCTGCCAGGGTGTGGCCGCGTGGAGGAGGATGGGGAATCAAAAACAAACACGCTCCAAACACCACGGGTCGGCCTTCTCAATAAAATTCGCATTCCCAAGGGAAAGAATTCTTTATGTTTTCACAAGGCACTTTTGCACCTCCAAACCAGACTCTTGACCCCTCTTTTTTCCGTTTCATTGGCACATCTACCTTTGGTGGGGATTTGTATCAGCTGAGATCATACAGGCTCTGGTTTTGCATTTGAATTCATTAAAGGAAATCTGTGTACCATTCTAATTACATTATATTCGTCAGTTTTCTTTTGGCCAATAAAGCTACTCGGCTCCCTTGCCGAGCATTTCACTCATTCGCTTGATGAGTTGCCCAAAGGGATCCTTCCGGGCCCAAACTTACCTGAGAGAGCCGGCATTGAGCACACGGATGCCGTTCCTGATGTTTTGTTGTTTGTGTTCATTGCAGAGCTCGATGAATTTGCCGCCTGACAAGGCGCGACTCCTGCGTCAGTACGATGACGAGAAGAAGTGGGAGCTGATCCGCGACAAGGTGAGCGGGAAGGCGAGCCGAATATAATTGAATAAAACAACCAAAAGTGATGCCCCCCATCATCATCGGTCATGATGCAGTCGACACCGGATGAAGGTCTCCCCAAGCTGTCGCCAAGCACACAGTTTTGTGCGAGGCAACGATCCACTTAGCTTTGGTTCTTTTGGTAAAGTCATGGTTTTAAGGTAATTTTGGGGTGCTGATTCCAAATCTGGCATCAGTTTTTGTCTATCACATCAGGTTTTTGAGATATCAAATATTGCATTTTCAATAAAAACTGCAGAAGAAAAATATTAAATAAATGTGGATATCTACATAAAATGATATTATAAACACACTATCCTAAAAATACAGCACCATATTTTAACACTAAAGCAGTCGCTGACTCGCAACAACTTGCAATCATAAGTGACAGAGTTAATTTCGGGTAAAATCAATGAAAATGGGGTATGCCGATAGCATAAAAATGAGATGTGATAGAGCAAATCTGAGATCAGATTTGGAATCAGCACCCTGAAGTTAGTCCAAAACAGCTGCAAAAGTCCAGGCCAGAAATTTTTTTTTTTGTTGACCCGTGTAATAGATCACGACGTTTTCGATCACAACACAAGCAATCGTCATCAGGTGGGACAACCTTTTTTCTACCTACATGACTTTACCGAAAGAACCAATGAGTATGGATTCCTGCAGTCACGAAAGCTTCAAATCAAGATTGATCCACGTAGCGTCTGTTTCATCGGCCATTCCATCTATTGTGGGTAGACTTTTTGCCACTCCATCGTTTTTCTTGTCCACCGGCTGTCATCCCTTTTTATCAAGGTGTTCTCATACCTGTCAACAACCCCTTATCAGTGCCCTGCCTTATTACAGACCAGTTCAGACCTTATTGGTCACCCCGTGCACTTACAAATCTCAACGTTCATTCTGCAAAGTTCCATCACAAGGGAGAAACGCAAACAAATAGACAAAAAAATAATGTTGCCCATATTAAAACGGTTGTATGCCGTATGGACCTGAAAATGTAATTTACCTGTACAAGGTTATGGGTAAACCATATGCGTTGATGGTATATGTTCTGCAAAAAAATTCATCTTTTTGTAAAAAAATTGCCAATGTTTCTGATGTGTATGTCAATGCAGACATATGCACCATCTCAGAATTGCTGATGCCCAGTGGTGTTAGAATACAACAAACATTCGGTCTCGTGGCATCTCAGCATTCATCACTCATTTATCTCAGGATGTTGAATATTTTGCGCTTTGAAACCAGCAGTGCTGGGAGAAAAACCTTACTCGCAATGTGAGGGGCAAGCACCACAAATTCCATACATGGGGGTCAGACACCTACTTGCTGTACTGCCCCCCACAAGGGACCTCCTGCACCTGGACGCGGGTGTGTGTGTGTGTCTCACACTGTGGTTCCACCTCTGCGTTGTGCACCAACTCTAGCCTCCCAAGTCCTCGGGTTTCCGGCATGTACCACCACAACCCGTGTGCACAAACCAAGGTCTGCCTTGTCTCTGGTTAGGCTGTGTCCTTGCCAAGCACTGCCTTGGAGCATTTGTAGGGCAGTGTAAAGAAACACGTTTCCTTTTGTTGATGATTACGCAACCTTGAAGACAATTCCATTTACTGTATATTCGAGACAAATGGGGCTTCTGGAATGTGCGTGGGAGTTTTCATGCCCCACGCACCATAGTTGATGCTTATGAGTTATTTATTTTTTCAAAGCTGGAATGGAGCCGTGTATAGAGCCATCTTCCCAGTCTGTACTGGCTCGTTTAATTTGGGGTTAAAGTTGGAATGCAGCCAGTGGTTCTGTTGGCCGAGTAGGGTTCTGACCAAAGTGTAGCCCGCAGCATAGCTCAACAAAGTGTTTGTTGGCATCCTGACTTCGACTCGGCGTTGGAGGTCGCGCTGGCAATTTAGCCACATGTAATCCTACGGCACTCAAGAACCCATGGCTTGTATTGTAAGTGGGTCATGCATGACACAGATCGGTGCTCGTGAGAACAAACTGTATCCAGACAACAAGCGGATGCCAACTGGTACACACGTGTTAACGCTGCCCAAGAAATGAAGTGTAACATCACCCGCGGCAGCACTGTATTGCATCACGGGTTGTGCTGTGCTGTGTATTCAGCCATTCTAAATATCCATGGCCGGCACAATTGTCGCTTGAGCGCGGCGAACATTTAACTTTTTTGCTGCGGTGTAAAATGATCCAATTTAAGTGGGATTGAAAACAATGCATTCTGCACAAAAACGTGTTGGCTAACCTGAGGGCTCTTACTCTGAATGGTCGAAGGCGTGCCACAATTGAAGGACGCCCCCCCCCCGGGCTGGGCTTAGTTGTGAGATTGTGTGTCGAGGAGTGAAATGTGCGGAGTGAAATGTGCGGGCACTTTGGCCAGCTCACGGTGGCTGCCCAAACAAGTGACTGCAGTGCGTCGTTTTTTTAGGGAGGGTGGGGGGGAAAGAGCGCGAGGTGCTTCAAAGGGGACTCGTGCAGCAGAAAACCCCCACCCCCTTGGGCAAAGTCCCAACGAGAAACACGCTCGGCCAGTTTTATTCAACGCTACAAAAAAGTGCGCATTTCCTTTGGCATATATTGCGGTTTAAAATCTGGTGAAGGTACAGCCCTGGCATTGCTTTATTATGCCATTGCTGGTGGAAGGGCCTTGACTCGAGGGAGCTCTAGAGAGTTCATCTCAATTGTCCTACTCTTCTTGAAATAATGTAAGTGGTGGACAGTACCCACAGTTAATACCGCACCAGATACAACTTGTGTATTGATTAACTGTGGTGTAGCCATTTATACTGCTGGGTTGGACATAGGCAGCGAGGGCATTTAAGAAACCTGGACATTGTTTCAACTGCCACGCCAGGTGACTAAATCGAGCCAGCGACAACCAATTAACCACGGAAACATCCCATATTGCGGTTTACGGAGTTAACAGTTATAATTATGACAAATATTTTCACAGAAATTACAAAACAAATTCCGTTGCTTCACAAAAACATTTGGGTATTGACAAACTGCGAACAAAGGTTGCTCCTGTCATCCGGCATACCCACTGCCTTTTTACGGTTGCTAAATCGGCACGGGTTATCGCCGGTGCGTGTGTAGGAGGGGCAGTATGCATCGATGCAGCCTCCCTTATGGGTTAATTTTCCAGGTCACTGGCCGCCAAGCATCTTCAAATGCTCGCTCGTGATGGGGGCCACCTCCTTCTGGACGCTAAAAGCCTTTCTCTCCGGCTTGAAGGGGTGCTCTACTTGAAAGGCAACTCTCTGCGTTCCAAACCCTTACCTGCCGCCGGATGTCCAGGTCAAGTGGCCCCAATCATTCCTCCCGGGATTTGCACCACCTATTTTTGACCCACGTCACGGGTACCTGAGGTCAGCCACTTGACTGATTTCAATGATAAGGTGGAAAAATGATGCCACGCATAGATTATGGTAAAGGTTTCGAACATGCGGTACGGAAGCCGACGGTTAGCTGTTAGGGAAAACGTGTGTTAACATGTTTACAAATAGTCCTGTTTGCCCTAGTTTCGGCCGATTTTCGAAAGGGTAAGTCCTTAGTAGCAACGGAGCATGATAATAAAAAAAATTTCATTTGGGATAATCTTATAATGTCTTTCCCCCCATACAGACAGCTGGATAGAGCTAATGCATAATTTATTTCAACCTTGTTGGAAAGTGTTAAAAATTACTAATCATTACAACAGTGTCTTGTTTATTTATATCGCATTGGGGTTCGTGACATTTATATGGGCATAGAACAAAGTAAATGTGACTCATGCTTGGAAAAGAAAAGGAAACATTTGTACTTGGCTTTACTGATAACACGGAAAGTACAATAGTGAGTCACCCCTTTCCCCTCTCGTGTATGTGGGAATGTCACACGTACGATGTCATCCATTGATGAAAGCGCAAAATGCTTTCATGCGGACATCCCCTTAAGCATGTGGTTAACGAGTTGTGTACTGTCCCAGTGCCCAATGAAGGATTTAGAAATTAGTCATCATGGTCATTAAAGGTTCCACTTTGTAACTGTCTGATGTCTCTCAAGTAAGACAGGGCAATAGGCCAATAGACTGAATGAGGTCCATATTTAATGAGAATAATGTCCTGTAATTAATGAGGAAATCCTTAATAAGATGCGAGACTTTTTTTCTGAATGGTCCTGCAATGAGGTGGTTGGCCAATTCCATTGACAAGAGCATTGTGGGAAGAAACCAGAGTGCCTTCCAATTATCCGCACAGATGTATTCAAGAGCCCACTTGCTGTACAGCCGTCTCCTGCCCACTTCTTCAGGTTTGATAGTTTCCAAAGTTCACTTGATCCACCAACCCTTACCTCCAAGGTGCACCTCCGATGAGCACGGTTTGCTACGTACGGTACGAAATAAGTTCAATGTACACACATATGCTGCCACCACACGCAGCTCACAACATGCACTGGCCCGTGTGTGTATCGATGGCACTCGCTGCCAGAATTTCAGCTCGGGCTTTTTAACAGCCAATTAGCAGAACAGTTTACGAGCTGTAAAAGTCGCAGGTCAAATTTCAGCCGCAGCTCGCGGGGGGGGGGGGGGGGGGGGGCCGGGCACGACGACGTGAGACGGCGCGAATGGTTTAATTGCTCGGCGGCGCGCTTGCGAAACGCAGATTGTGCGACGCCCGCAGCATCTCGGCTTGTCACGCGAGTCTTCATCGAATCACGCTCCGGCCGCCACTGGCCGCACGGTGCTCGTAGCGGCTGCCCATGCGCCCCGCGACGGCTTATCGACGGAAACATTCGACGTGTCTGAGCGGCCGAGATAGCGGCTCTCTCCCTTTGGCTGCAAACGCCGAGCGAGTTATAAAATAATTACCACGGTTATTTCTTTATTTGTTGTTTCCCCTGGCCCGCTCTCTCGCTCTCTCTGCCGGTTTTTCCCGTCGCACATCAGTGGGGGTCATTGTTTCCGTGCATGAGGGGGACTTTCTGTTCAGGATGTGGCCGATTGCTGTGGGGGGTCATGGCTATGCGCAGCAGTAAGAGGGGTGTGGTGGCCCATGCAGCATATCGCTCTTCTCCACTCACTGGCCCTGCAGATACTTCCACAATGAAGGGCTGTTGCCACATCGGAGCTCTAATCGCTATGGGCCACTTCCTTCTGCTGCCAATCTCGCCCGGCTCTATAACCTTGCTTGATTAGACGCGGGGACAGTACTTCACGCCGTTTCCTCATACAGTCGGTTTAACGCAGTCACGTTGAGATTTGTTGTCACCTTCAATGAGATCCTTTGGAGGGCCTTAAATAGCCAATCGATTGTATTATTAATTGATTACTAACATAGTGTGAGGATACGTGTATCCATTGGTAATTGGGAATCGATGTATTTGACTTTTGTTTTAATTACTGTGTGGCGCTGCTGTGACATCTTGAAAACATTTTCGCGTTGTCATCTCTGAATTCTATTCTCAGTTTGTTTCTAATTGCGTTACACAGTTGTGTTTGTTCAGTCTTTTGGTTCTCGCCTGGATTGTTGCCTCTTGGGACCGTGGCAGATTGCAACGGCTTTGGCAAGACTTTATCCAGCAGTGGATGAATCATGGTTGATGATGATGTGTGGTACTGATTTTTGGCATTTCACACCCTCAACTATTGTTTCAATTATCACAGTTTGGGATCACAATTCTACTCCATGATATATTCTTTCTCCATTGAGGAGGGTGTGGAATCGATCATAGTTTTAGCGGTCATTTGAACTGATTAATAATAATAATAATGATTAATAATAATCCATTCACACACAACATTATTTGCATTTATAGTGAATGAATGAATGAACGAATGTATGTGTGTTGAACTTCTTTTGCACCGTACGTAGCAAACCGTGCTAATCGGAGGTGCGAATGGACATTAATATGATTCTCTACACGGCGATTGTAAGTTGAATCGCGGTGATGTATCGTCCCTCTGCCTTATATCCCCCTGGGATCAATAAAATGAGTACCACTTTTCCAGGCAGTCTCCCATCCCATCTACGACACAGGTTCAACACCACTTAGCTTCCAATGTCTGACAATATGGGGCACATTCGTTTATGCTCGGCATGTGTATATTTATATATAATTTATTTAAACGTGACCTACATTACAATTTTAGACAACTTAACGGACAGAAAAGGAAACCATTTCATCTGTTGAAACAATTAAATCCAAAATGCTCTTTCCAGTTTCCTTCAGTGTGCTTGGAAAATTCCCAAAATTTCACACATTCCGCTGGGAGATGGCCAGCACTGTCCACCTCCTGAACATCTTAACGCTCTGCGGCTTAAAAGATAAAAGGTCTGTGTTGAATTCCTTGCCCTGATAATTGGGCAGCTAGATTTCACGCCACGGGTGGCAAGCCCATACGAGTAAAGGAATCGCGGTCTGTGATCCTGACAAAACTGAATCGCAGTGAGCAGTCATGTTGGACGGTTGAATGGTTTGGAAATCATTGCGCTTACCCCACTGAGCCTTTTTGCATGGATCCTGAGATTAAATTCCCACAGCTGTCTGGATTTTTAAAGTCCCCGTGGGATAATAACGCTGGCTAAGAAGAAGGCCAGCTTTTTCTGGTATTATAAAATATCAATCTGCTGCTGGATGAAGTATTCCCTTAGCCGTTGCCATTTATCTTAGTCCTGCTATGGAAAGGTCCAACCATGCAAATGCACACTCGTGGATTTCATTGCTCCATCCTTGTGGTTGACGTCCTCTCGGGCAGGTTTCCTCCCTTGTCTCGACCACCGACAATCATGTTGGTATAATATAATCTATTGCTGGTGTAAATGTCCATAAATCACACATTTGAAAAGTTATATGAGCATCACGTAACAAATTTAACACGTAGGCTTTTGCGACCATTATTACTCATTCAAGGTTTTTGGGTTAGATTGCGTAAATATAAATGTGTCGTTAATGACACATTTATATTTACACAATACTCTATTATGAGTCAAATTTAAATATAAATTATGATCTCCACATATGAGCTAATGTTTGACACGTGCAAAAAGAGTGATGATTCTTATTGAGCTCGTATTAATGTATGAATGCGGTAACAAGAATGGTCATGAAAAACATCCTTAAAGGATATTGCACTCGAACCAAACTTGAGCTCGTCGGTTACAAATCTTTTCTCAGGGGGTGGTGGAAAAAGATTGGTTCGATCCCAAGTTACTGCGCAGCATTGCCGTGTTCTCCGCGTGCCTTGGCTTGTGATGTGACGAGCGTTTTTGCTGCGTTGTTTATTTGCAGGAGAAAGTCCAAGTGAAAAACCCTCCGCACATCTACATCGAGAAATTGCGCAGCTACTACAGCGACCCGGAGATCGACAACAAAGTGCGTGTGGCCGGTGCAGGCGGGGGAGGGGGCTTGGGGTTACACGCGCGAGCAGTTCCACGATGATTTTGGACGTGCGTTTTCATACGCCCATTAGGATGTGGGTAATCATTCATGAAATTGCGAAGTGACTCTTTTACTTGCGGATAGTATGTAAAGCGCTCCACTGATTAGCACGGTTAGCTACGTGCGGTGCGACGGAAGTTCTACATACATGCATACAACCAATTAGGGCTGTGATTTGGTAAAATGATACTTTTTGACAGGGGAGAAATGATTAAATATTGCGGTGGTGTCAGGCTGAACATGGACATTCTGAGTTGGTGATGGAGCATTCAGTTGTTTATTGTCAAGCTATTAATATATTCCATAAATTAGCCATAGTGTTAGATTATTTCATAAATTAGTCCGAAAGCTATTGGTGATTTATTTAATCACAATGCCCGATATGCATTATTATTATTGTTCAGATGATTTTGACAAAGGTTGCCTCATAAGTTGTGCTGCCCCTTTTGCGTCCACTGGGAGTGGAATGATTCACCTCCACCCCCTTCACCTCTGCATTCAACCTAAAATCTGCGTCAATGTCGCCATCCAAAGGACTCTGTTGTATTCATTACAAAGAGCGCATAATACCACAGGGCCACGGAACATGCGCAGGGGAGGATTTTGAGGTGGGCACTAAGTACCTCCCCAATGCAACCTAACTTTTCCTGCCCTCCACAAAGAAATCACTTGCTTCTTACAAAAGATACATGACTGAATTGCATGACTTCATACGCATCACGATCAGATGCGTGCATTGCGAGCTCAAGAGTCGATTACTATCGACAAATGAATCGTTCCGCCTCGAGCGTCAGCCGTCGGATTTTAGTGCTCATATTTTATGTGTAAATGTTTTGCGTCGTGGCAACGATTGACGTAAATCTGTGCGCGGTGAGTATGTACAAGTTTTTGCGACGAGAGCTGTTCCCACGTTATTCATCCGCGACGTGTGGATGTGTGTCAAACTCTTCGTATTCAGTGCACGGCCGACAACGCAAGCCGGCACTTGTAGAACTCGCAGGAATTCGGCGGCAGAAACCCACAAGCAGATTAAACAACCAAAGTGTGACCCCCGCTTGCCGTGTCGCCGACAGACGGGAGTTTATTTATCCCACCCAACAGTTAAAGAAAATGTTTAGAATATCCCCAGACAGTACGCCAAGCCATGTCTATTTAGCACATTGGTGTCATTAATGTGTTAGCCCTGGGGTTTGTTTAGACTGAGAGGGGCGGTGGTGGTTGCTCGATGATTTTGTAACGGTGCAAGCGGTGCTTGTTTGTTCATTCCGATTGGCTCAAACTGATGCGAAATTACTTGACATGGTTTGCAAATTTACCCAATCAGTGTTCGCTGTGGGCACAAAAAAATACAAAGGCTTGCTGTGTAATTTCAACTAGCTCGTAACGTCAAAAGCTTCATTTGTTTTGTTTACCATGCATTAAATATACGCAACCATGAATTCTCAGCCTTGGATATGTCTTTTTAACTTTTTAATGTAATTTCTGCAGTCAGTTGTTTGATGGTGTGACCCCGGCGTTCTGTGGGTGAATGCGTTTTTCCCCCCCTGTATCAGAAATTCAGGCGGAGGGTGAACGAGTCCACGCAGGTTTTACGCGAGCTCGAGATATCGCTCAGAACCAACTACATTGGGTGAGCACAAGTCGACACTGCACTTCCAATAAACTTCCCAGCTTATTGCTTGAAAAAAATTAACAACTCGACGGATTACACAGACGCCTCACATTGTCAGTGGCACAGCTATGGAGTGTACAGGCGGTGCGACTGCACGGGGGTTGACGGGCCAGGTGGGCCCAGGCTCAGGGCTACGGAGAAGAGGGAAATTGGTCAAGTCGTCCTGTTTTATTTCTTGCACCAGTGGCCTATGCTGTTCCAGCCTCGCTACAGCACCGCCTGTCTTGACCCCCCAACACACATGGTGCTGACCTCTTTGCGGGCGATACGCGTGCGCTGCCTTCAGATGGGTGCGAGAGTTCCTGAACGAAGAGAACAATGGGCTGGAGGTGCTGATGGAGTACCTGGCGTTTGCGCAGTACGCCGTCACGTGAGTACGCGCGACTCGAGTCGGACACATTCTGTTCACCTTGCAAAAGACGCCAACGTGATCGTCGCCTGTGTGCTATGAGAATCGCACGAGTGATGTGTAATGTACACTTGTGTGTGGACTCCCGCAGCACATATGCACATTTATGGGGAGCCCACTTTCTTACTGAGGGCTAAATAGGACTTAAAATACATTTGTCCGTCAAGCACACGTTAGTTGACACTAAACCCTTGATAGTGCTTGGACTGTTTGGATTGTGCTCACAACTACATGAAAGACGAGAGCCTTGTTGCCAGGTTGAAGGTATTCCCTTCTCGTACCCGACTAAGATGTATGATTTAATGCATCTTATTTGTGCGCCGTTTCGAAGCGGTAGGCCTCGGGTGGCTGCGGACTGTGCGTAGTGAAGCCATGGGCTGTTACCTGGTCTGTACACCTACAGGTTATCCTTTGATCGTAGCTCCTGCCAAGCGCAACAAACTCCATGCGCCTTCAACCAAACTAAGTGCAACTCTGCCCATACCCGAACATTGACCATGCTCGTGTCCTCCTCGCAGGTGCGACGTCGAGGGGGATGAGAACGTGGCTCTGCTCTCGAGGAACGGGCTGGCGTCGCCGAAAGAGCTCCGCCGGTCGCTCAAGCAGAGGGGCTCCCTGCCCGGCAGGCAGCGATCTTCCTCCAGCGCGTCCAGCACATTGGCAGCAGCGCGGTCGTCACGAGCCGCGAGCCTTAGGTCGGTTGTGCACCTCCGCCAAACTCATACGCTCTCTGGTCGGTCAAGTTCAAATACCTCGTCACAGCGAGCGCTGTTGATGCTACCCGCGGTGTGTTGGCTGTTGGTTATGGCAGCCAACTCGGTCCATGACAGCGTTCTTAAGCTGTTTTTTCATAATCAAATTGGCAGATCGCATGATATTTATATACTATGATATCACACGGTTGCGTCATGACGTCTGTTCTTATGGCCAATAATCTGTATATATGTCTCCAGGTTTCCCATCTTTTGTTTATCTTACCTTTAGCTCACTAATCCTCATCTCTTGTCTGCAGCTTTCCTATTTTTCTTGTTTTTTTATTTTCTCTTTCATCTGACTAGTCTGCGTCTCTCTGTATCTCTCAGTGGGCCACAGTTCGATAAGCCACTCCGAGGGCCCGTTGCACTGGTCCATGGTAATGTTGTGATTACCCAGTATGTAGTCATTTATCTCCTTTACCTTTACATCTATCATGGGAGAGATTATTTTGGCAGAGGTCTATTTCACAAGAAACTAAATATTAACTTGTGTCCACGTTCAACCAGGAATTGGCTTTACTCACTTCCTTTGTAGATCCTTCGCCAGCGGTGGAAATTCCACGTTCCTATAACAGGGACCAGTCTCCATATAGCAACTACTGTTTAATTCTTCAAAGTGGTACTGTCTTTGAGCCCAGCAAGACGATGAGCTGAGTCTCCTGGGAAATGTGGTACTGACACGGATAATTTTCATACTGTTTGTGATAAGTAGGGTTTTTGGGTAACTCTTCCATAATTATTTAGTTATTTCAATGATGTATTACATATGTCTTGTTTGTAGACATGATTAAGAGGTTTTGTTCTCTGTATGGCTGATGTTGATTTACAGCAACAACTATTATGTACGTTGAGGCGGTTGACCCAGATAATTGCGTCAGGAGTTGTGGACTATGTAATGTCGCACCACCACTAATCGGTTAAATAATTAAACGAGACCTTTGTAACCCAGCATCGGTTGCCTTATCCATGGAAACGTTTTCCAATGGGCCATGTGTGTATGACGCAATCTACATTTAACTTTTGTCATCAAGTGTATTGAGTTGATGATGTCAGCCCTATCACCAATGGCTACACAATAAGCCAGCGCATTAAATCTGGTTCTCCAGTTAATTGTGGCACGGAGCACTGAGAATTAATAATATACTTTTGACCATCATGTGACGAACGGTAGCTCTTTGTGGTACCGCAAGTGCTGCCCTACTGTGGGCCGGAGGCCAGAGGTAACCTTTCGTTTGTAAGGTAGCTCTGCGACATCCACTTTGTGCGCCATTCTCTGATTTTAATAGATAACTTTGTCTTATGGCATGACACCAGGAAGTCCGGTTGAACAAAAATTGGGGAAACTGACGAAATTGTAGATAGATATTTTCTAAACGTGCTTGTCTTTGCCGCACAACAGCAACATTCGCTACAAGACTCTGCGAAACTCGTGGCTCGTGAGCCAAAAGGACGACGTCCACCTGTGCATCATGTGTCTCCGCGCCATCATGAACTACCAGGTGTGTCCTCTCACCTGTCAACCGCTAGTGAGCACTCGCGATGAACTGGGCTCCTGCTCCAGGTGCGACCGACACAGGGAGTCTCACCCCTAACAGACACAACCCAAGAAACAAGTGATGCTGTCCCACGCGAGATTGAAGTTTTATTAATGAGAAACAAGGCTTTGGTTTCCCTGTCACATGCATCTTGTGCCATGAATACCCCCTCACCACCGTCCCGCAGCCCCCCCCCCCTTCCTATTCACGATTAATTCACTTATCACGATTCAAGATCATGATTCATGGTGATGAATGTTGCAGCCTCTAGTGGCCTTGAGGATTCAAGCATGTGAACTCATTGCTGCATACATCATCATCATCATGATTCGCCATGATCAGTCCACAGCTGGATGAAGGCCTCCATATGCCATCGCCATCTCTCATGGTTACGGTCTTACAATGTAACAATCTGTATGTAGCATTTATGGTTCCGAAAAAACGTGTATTCTTGCGCAGCAATTCGATGCATATTTTGGTGAGCGTCATCATTGTTGTAAAATGATGCATCGTGAAACTTGCTTCCCTCTAGCAATGTCACCATGATGCCACTTCCATACATTTACACTAGCTGTACTACCCGGCTTCGCCCGGGACTTGGATCCACCACGCCCGGCCGCCTTTGTCTCCCAAGTGCCGATGTTAATACGCCACACCAGTTACTCGTTTGAGGCTGAGTCGACCTAGGGGAGGTTCAAATAATCGTCACCGGTGGTGGCCGTGAGCGGGAATCGAACTCGGTTCGCCGGGTTGGTAGCGCAGCGTAGCGTTAAGCACTACACCCACCGCTCCTCACACACCACACACGCACAGACACACACGCAGACACACGCAGACACACACAGACAGACACAGACAGACACACACACACACAGACACACAGACAGCACGCTAAGCACTACACTACCGCTCCCCACACACCACACACGCACACACACAGACACACACACAGACACACACACAGACACAGACAGCACGCTAAGCACTACACTACCGTTCCCCCTACACAACACACGCGCGCGCGTCCATAGGTACACATACACGCGCTTGCTGCAGACACACACGACTTTCAGGGTGCGTAAGGCAGTAAACGACTGAAATAATAAAGCGGCAATGCTGTGCGAGGAACGCCTTAGACCAGCAACACATTTGTGTAATGCGAGCGTAAACACACAAACACATACAAACACATACACACACATACACACACAAACACATACACACACATACACACACATACATACACACAAACACACACATACATGCACACAAACAGATACACAATACACACACACATACATGCAGACACACAGACAGACACGTAACACACATACATACACACACATACATACACAGAAACACATACACACACATACATAGACACACACATACATACACACAAACACATGCACACACGTACATACACACATACATAGAGACACGCAGACATACACATAAAGACATAAAAAAACCCACATACATACACACACACATACACTCAAACACATACATACACATACATACACACATACATAGAGACACACAGACATACACATAAACACAAACACACATACACATGACCCGGCTTCGCCCGGGACTTGGATCCACGATGCCCCGCCGCCTTTGTCTCCCCAGTGACGATGTTCACACACGACAGCAGTTACGCTTTTGAGGCTGAGTGGACCTAGGGGAGGGCCAGGTCCGTTTCAAATAATCGTCAGCGGTGGTGGGCGTGAGTTGGAATCGAACTGGGGTCGCTCAAGCAGCTTAATGACTGTTTGTACAAAGAACATATAAAGAATCGATTATAATAACCAGGCAAGAGTCCACATTATAGACTGCCAGTACACGCACTCAGCTTCATAAGCAGGCTAGAGTGTACATGATAGAGTGGCAGTACGCTCACCGAGCTTAATAAGCAGGCTACAGTGTACATGATAGACTGGCAGTACGCTCACCCAGCTTAATGAGTATTTGTACAGTGAACATTAAAGTAATCGATTGTTGGCGCGTTGGGTTTAAAAGTAATATTAATAGCACACATTGTGGTGGGGGTGTAGTGAAGAGTAGGAAAAACTTTGATGAATTTACCTCAGAGTGGCGTGGTGGGTGTCGAGGCCTAGTAGCGTGCAAAGCCTGCGGCCTCGCCTAAAATTGTCGGCTTGGAAAAGGCAGGGTACGGGTGGCGTTCCTTCCCCCCCCCCCCTAGCGCTCCAACAATACTGTGTAATGGCTATTATTTAATTAAATACGGAGCTTATGAAAGTGGCGAAGGCGTGGCTAGCCGTTGGCAGGGGCAACCGCCGTCCAATGAAACTGCAGCCCTTGGCGAAGGCGTGGCTAGCCGTTGCCAGGTCCAATGAAAGCGGCGAAGGCGTGGCTAGCCGTTGCCAGGGGCAACCGCCGTCCAATGAAAGTGCGTATGGGCCAAAGTCCACACACACACACACACAGACAGACAGACATGAACGATTTTATATATATATAGATTCATGGTGGATACAGTGATGTGACCTGAGCCTACTATGTAGGCCACACCTGAAAGAAGATGTTTCTTTGTAGCTTTATTAACGAATCTACAAGCTCTTGTCGGACAGTCTCGGTACTTCTCTACAAGATGTGATTTTTTTTTTAGGTTGACGAAATTGTCTTCGCGAACCAAAACAGACTGTCAAAATGTCAGATGTACCGTAGGCACTATGGTTTATTGTTGACCACACATGTCAGGTGACCCATGTGACCTCCGTCATGTGTGTGTGCCACTGCAGTACGGCTTCGAGAAGGTGCTGTCACACCCGCAGTGTGTCAACGAGATTGCACTCAGCTTAAACAACAAAAATCAAAGGTGAGCACTTTCATCATAATATCTCGCCTCATTGCGTATTTTATGCCGTTATGGTTATGGTGCCTATGAACAAATCACTTGGAATGTACCACATCCTGTCAGACATTTCAAGTTCAGTAGGTTTCAGCTTGCACGGTGCTGGGATGGGTACGCACTATGCGCATAACACAGGTGTAGTAGGCATTGTGAATTGTAGAAGGCAGTGCAGAAAAAATAATTGGCCTGTATACACTGCCCCCCCCCCCACCCCCATCTTCACCAATTCACACTGACCAGTGTAGTGAAGTGTGGGCAGATAACCCTGAATGCCTGCATGGCCTGGCAGGGCCCTCACCCAGCAGTGGATGACAAAACGGCTGTACATTGACATGTTGACGTTATTGTTGTGTTTTTGGGTGAGCGGCGGCGCAGCCTTTAACACAGTCCGACAAATCTAGCGGATTTGGATTCTCAGCCACGGCAACAGAACCAGTCCTGGGCTCCTCCCCTAGGTCTACTCTGTGATAAATGAGCACCAACTGCGTTGTACCGTGAGCGTTAGCCAGAGGTCGCAAACGGGTTTTGATTCCTTACCCATACCCGTACCCGGCCGCACCAGGGTCGCAAACGGGTACCCGTACCCGGCCGTACCCGTACCCTACTCGTACCTGGCCGGGTACCGGTAGGGTACGGGTATCGGGTACCTGATTGCGACCTCTGGGGTGAAGCCATGTTTCAGGCGCGGGTGGGTTGATTCTAGGAACTTGAATTGTGAGAAGAGACTAGACGTTGGGAAATGAGTGACAAACAGTTACTCACCAGTGACTCACGGCCTACCCGTACCCGGCCGCACCAGGGTCGCAAACGGGTACCCGTACCCGTACCCGGTCGGGTACGGGTAGCCGGGTATGGCATTAGCCGTGGGGCGAGACGTCTTCATCCGGATGTGGTGCAGGCCCCCCCCCCCCACAGTGTGTTAATGCTCCCCGTGTGTGCGGGTTGTGGCTGCAGGACGAGGACGCTGGTGCTGGAGCTGCTTGCCGCCGTGTGCCTGGTGAGGGGCGAGGGCCACGAGACCACTCTTGCCGCCTTCGACAACTTCAAGGAGGTGCGGCGGTTTGTGCGAGACGGTGGAGAGGGCCCCGTAAAGCCGCAGAGCGCCCTCGAAGTTGCGCGAGCGGATCAGAATCAGAATCTATATTTATACTGGAAGAGGAATCCAAAGGGCCTATGAAGCTCTTTTTTTACAGATGTCCAGTAGGGGCATGGGGTCAGAATAAACCGTGGCGGGAAAAAATAAAGATAGTTCCCCATGTTTACTTTCGGCTTTGCGCCATGTATCTCTGCGATCCGTTGTCAGGTCGTACTGCGTTGATTGGCATGGTGTACACAGTGTAAAGCTAAATTCTGCCTTGCTATTAGCTGCGTCTCCACTCTGTGGTTTCGTGTGCACTCTCCAGCAACCACTGGAGCATTGCATCCTGCGTTCCAGACTTGCTGGTGATTTTGAGTGGTCTCAGTGGCATTTTAACCCTCATTTTAAATAACTTTTTTATTTTATGATAATACAAAATCGATGTAGATAATATTTCAAGCTGCAAATGGGCTTAATGTGGTCTTATTGTCAATTGCTGGCTTTTTCTTGAAAAATATGATATACCGAGGTGTGCCCGTCTCCTGAATTACACCGGTATTTTGAGGACACTCTGTACACTACATATTCCTACTTCGTGCTCAGTTCCCACTTCTCGAGTGATGCGAATTCACCCCTGTTGTGCTATCGTGTGGTGCTGTGAAGCATCGCCGTGAATTGGCGGAAAATCGAACCGGACAAGTTTCACAGCCGTAGCTTAACAAAGTGGGCATTTGTCCAAAGCAGTAAAGTAGGCAAGTACAATACGCCATGTATATAAACCATGACCCTGCAAGTATGTAAACTAGCGTTTGGAGTTGTGTCAAATCTCATTGCATTATTGCCCAGCTTTATGGATGCTTTGAAGTAGTTTCTTCTGCCGCTATGGCAGCATGCGGAGGGTTTTTTTGATGCTTAGTCACTGAAGACGTATTCCCGAGTCTCGCTCATGCTCATGTTTTAACCCTCGGAGGGTTCTCGGTGGCTTTGTCCAATTGCTGAGAAATGGTTTTCCGTGCATTTTTCCCCACTCACGTGGGGCCTGCATGTCTAGTCCTATTACTATACCCGTTCCTGTGCTATGCCATCTCCACATCCACTCAATTGGTACTTCACATCCCGGTTCACTCGATTCATCTCTGGCTTGGCCTGGCTCTTTGTCGTCTCCACCCCCAATGTCTTAGTTCGTCATCACATTTCTTCTTCCGCTGTGGTTTCTCTTTCCTTCATATTACGTTTCCTCGGCATTCGAGTCGACTATTTCTCAGCTTGTCCGAGTATGGCTACCATTCTAGAATTCTTAATTGTCTTTTCATTTCTGGCCCAATCTAGTCTTGTGATCGCTGAGGTTTTGCCTCGCCGTCGTAATTTTTGGGGTGCACGACATCCGTTCCTCCCCGGATATTAGAATGTAACATTCACACCTGTACGGCAGCCCCTGTGCTATTGCTGTCTTATAAACGTTTCCTTTCAAATAAGTCAGAATATCTCTGAGCTAGCACTTGTTGAGATCCTGTTGAGGTACTGGTTTCAGATATGGGCAGCTACCTGTGATTAAATCACGTGCGCTCTCGTTTAGCAGGTTCGATGGTATCAGCTTGGTTTACAGGGAACTCACAAAAACAACTTTTAAGTGTTTGGTTTCCTACTTGATTTAATCTAGTTCTACTCTAAGGGTTCAAATTTATGAAATTGACGATTGACAAGCTGCAAACGACTCATTTAAAAGTATCAACGAGCAGTGTGGTTTTTAACGTCATGGAAATAATATGCCAATTTTGTACATCAGCGTCAACTCATCATCAGCCCTGATCTATCCAGTGTTTGATGAGAAGGCTTCTCCAAACCGTCCCCATCTCTTATGGTCTTGTGATACAACAATTTATCTGGCTTCTGCACATAAGCCGATTACATCGCTCCATCTCCTGTGGTGGACGTGGCCTCCGCTGCGATCTCCTTTGCCTGTCACTGTCGTTCTTCTCGACCACCAGCCCCCATCTCTGCAAACGACGTGTATGCTGCCCCAGCAGTCAACACGATGCTCTTAATTTGCATACGTTCTCCAATTGATGTGTGCCTCTTTCTGTCACGTGGTCTATTTTAACGACAGAATGCCAGGTTGGGATCCCAGATTGCGTGACTTAAAATATATATGTTACAGAACTCTTGCGTAGTGGTATTTCCTCAAGTATAGAAAATAAACTCCACTCTTGAGTTGTAAAAAAAATATATTTATACAGTAGCCCCTTTCAGCTGGGAAGCTTGTTTTTGTGAAAGCAGGTTATTGTTTCCATTGGAAAAAGGAAAAAAAGGAAACTGAATCGCAGCAGCCTTTGTGACGGCTACGGTGTGATCGTCATATTCCGTGCAGTTGTGCTGCAGTTGAATTGAAAAAATGCAATAACCTGTTCGTTTGCCAAGACCCTCCCGGGGTCTTCTCTGTGTCTTGGTTATCCGTTCACATGGGAAATTACAAAAAAAATAATCAAAACAATACTAAAAATGACCTTTCCCTGCTGAAATCTGGCTTAAAATGCAATAACGTATTTGACGGCGTGGTAAGTTTTGGTTTAAGTGACATTGTGGATTATTGTTTTGGCTAAGTGTCTTCCGAAAGAGAGCTTTCAACTCTGCGTGTGGCTTGTTTTGTTTTGTCCGAGACTTAAATAGCTGATGCCATTTTCAGTTGCATAAGTATGTCGTAGATTCGGCGACTGTCACTTAAATCGGTAGCATTACACAATTCCTACAGAAGGGGCATTCAAAGTTCGTTTTGTTGCTGTTATGGCTGTTGTGTTTGTTTTGCATGCAGGTCTGCAAGGAACGGCATCGGTTTGAGCGACTGTTGACTTATTTCAAAGATGACGAATCCAGCATGGACTTTATGGTAGGGGCACACAGCAAAAAGTACATTTACTGTAGACAGCACCTATTCAACAACAGCAACACCAATAGTGCTTTGAATAGCGTCAAATTGCCACCACATCTCAAAGTGCTTTTCATAAATAAAATATAAACTACATTGGGGTAGTGGGATGGTGGGGGGTGGAACGATGGTGCTGCAGTTAGCGCACTGTTTTGTGGAATCCGAATTTGTTTTTAGCTCTCAGCCTTCAAGTCTTGACATTAAACGAGCAGCTAATGTCAAAATCAGAATATTTATTTGGACTGGAAGAATCTGATGAGCTATGAAGCTCTTTTTCACAGATGCCCAGTTTGGGCGGGTCAGCAAGTTACAACAGAAAACATTACGAACATACGATAGGATTATAAAATAGAGAAAAAGGTAAGCAAGTCACTCAATATAAACAAATAACATACGTCCGATTTATCAAGCTTGGGCAAGGTAGCAGAAACAATAACAAAACACTCCCAGATCACACCAAGATAATACACAGTTCCTTAATAAAAAGGCACATTGACATTGAACTATCGATACACAGTAAAGGATCAAAGTTTTCAATCACATTGACAAATGTGTTGTCTAAACATCAGCACTGGGGAAACAAGCCTATTTGCATGGTTTCCGGGCACGCGACTCCTTCCTACTATGCCATAGTGGCCTTATTAGGTACTTAATCGCATAACTTGCTCGCTCTGCACCATAAAACACGAAGGGGGGGGGAGCTCGTTATCATTGTGTTAGCTCCACAGTGTTCCATTGAGTATCTCTGTCTCTCACAGGTGGCCTGCATGCAGTTCATCAACATTGTGGTGCACTCGGTAGAACACATGAACTACAGGGTTCACCTGCAGTACGAGTTCACGAAACTGGGCATGGACGAATACCTGGAGGTACCGGCACAAGTTGTACAAACTCGCTCTGATCGCCCCTCCACTTCTCACCGGGGCATTTTATGTTTTACTATTCTACTCAGTCTCATTATTATTAACAAGCAACCATGACCTAACCACTGCTGGATGAAAGTAAGCTACAAGAAAGGATTGAATAACAACACAAAAGGATCAAGATAAGAATGAGAAAAGCAAGTTGCGTGATACCTCGAATGAGTACATTGGTGTGGTGTGTTAACATCGCCAGTACGGTGACAAAGTTGGCCCGGAGTGATGCATGCCACTCATCCTCTCGTTTGCCAAAACCGGCCTTCAAAGGTGCTCGCTAACAGCACTTACCCCAAACGTCTGTTGAGGCTACACGGGGGATCTTTGTATTGTCTTTCGTATGTCATTGTGGTGGTGTTTGTGGTGGTGTTTGTGGCGGTCGTCGCTATAGAAATTGAAGAAGACCGAGAGCGAGAAGCTGCAGGTGCAGATCCAGGCGTACCTGGACAATGTGTTCGACGTGGCCGTGCTCGTGGACGACGCCGAAACGAAGAATGCGGCGGTGGAGCGTGTGCAGCAGCTCAACGAGCAAGTGTCGCACGTGAGTGCTCGTGCAAACAAGGCAAAGAACCCGCCCTGTAGCCCTAACAGACCCGGTGGTGCAAGTTCTATTGTTAGCGAGTAGCGCCGATGGAGGCCAGCACGGCACACGACGGGGGTGGGTGGCCAGCACCACGCCTGGCCGGCATTGTCTCCGCAGTGGCGATATTTACACATCACACCAGGTACTCCTTTGAGGCTGAGTCGACCTTGGGGAGGCCCGGGACCGGTTCAGAAAATTGGCACTGGTGGTGGCCGTGAGCGGGAATCGAACCCCGGTCGCTGGGTTTTTGTAGCGCGGTGTGTTGACCACGACTACCACTCCTGCAAACACACTTCCGTACACACTACACATGCACTGCGCACACACACGTTGCCTATAACAGAGTTGGGTGATCCTCGTCGTCACGATATCCGAGGGACTCTAGAGATCGGAAACCCAATTGTAAGACCGCGGGACCAATCTTTTAGATCGTGACCGCGAGGTCTCCCACGGTCTTTTTGGAGAGCCCCCCCCCCGTGACAGACGTCGCAGTCACGGCCAGCGAACTAGCCGACGAGAGCTCGGGCTTGGAGTACAGCGCCGTCTACCCCACAGGTCCCGGGCCACGGTCCCACCAGCTCGAAGGGTTTTCTCTCCCATGAGCCTGGGGCTACTGTGCGGTGCCGTGAGCTGTTGTCCCATGCTGATGAACGAACTTGCCATTCGGAACTTGACCATGTGCGATGGTTATTTTTTGTTATTCTTCCTGTAACCAGGTTATTATGGTCTAACCAGGTCCCTGTAGAAAATTAGCATTTATTTACCGATGGGTCTTAACCTGGGCCAAAATAAAATCTAAACCTAATAAATGATTGGTGGGACCATGGAGATTATTAACCGTGGAGAGTGAGCTCGCGGTCCCACGATCCACGTGGGGCTCAGAATCACGTGGCTCTTAATGCATGAGCACCACGCTCACACTCGCGCGCTGTACACATGCGCCACAGAATGCACCCCATACTTTTACGCACTCGCAGGCATTACACATACGCACACACTCGCTGCTGCAAGGGCACATGCGCGCACTGCACACATGCTTCCGAACGCAGTGTTATATTGATCACATATCGCACGTTGTGACCTGTAACAGATGCCTGTAAACATTGTGAAAGTCGACCGATATAAATCAGAGACAAAATTGTCTCACTGTTCAAACAAGCGTGGGATGGCATTCATCCGCCGTGTGGTGGCCTTGGTCCGCCGTGGTGGCCTTGATCCAGTGGTGGACATTGCACATTCATATGATTTTAATTTTTTAACAGAAATCACTTTGAATTCATCGCAAAGTGGGTACTTGTATTGTCATACCGTACGCACACTATTCTATTATTTGTAAACTATTTTAAGGCCACTCCCCATGTACAGTGCAATGTTGCATATTCCATCTTTTTGGAATTAAGGTATGTGAAAAGGTCAGATATGTGAACGTTTATGGAAAATGGCAATTACATTGCAATAAATAGATTATTATGCAAACATAACACACAATATGCTTTAAACATAGAGACATTCGTTATTGTACTTCAGAAGTAAGTATGTAGACGGGAATACGTTGCTGCGTGTGAAACGACTGGATTGTTGAACGTCTGTAGAAACTGTCAAGTTACATCATCATGCACCACGGCTGCACTGGGTGTGGGTGGTTAATTGGTATGTGATGGTCGGATATGCGGCGTTGTGCTTTATTTTGTTTATCCAGAATTAGATTAACGACGGTCTTGTTATTTGACTTGCCTCACTGCAGAAGGAGGCAAGCATGCATGTGAAGGCTATTTGCCGTTTTCTTGCAGCTTCAAGAAAACTTGCAGGAACAGGAGGATGCGGCAGTCTCGAGGATTGTGGAGCTGGAGAAGAAACTGCTGAATTACTGCAAGGAAGTTGAAAAGCTCCAGGTGCGGTCATTTGCTCACTTTCGCATTCACATTTGTTTTGTATGTGTGTATGCATGCATGTGTGTGTTTTAATAGGATTTAAAGGATCAATCCTCTAGAGGGACTCTCTTAAGCTCCCCCTAGTGGAGGCCCTTCTGCCACCAGTGGCGTGCACGAGCAATTGCAGCGCTGCACCCTTTACTGTGTTATAGGACAAATATGAATCGTTATCAGATTTCATAAAGCGAAGCAGGTATTAGCCTGGATAGTGCTTGAATGGGCCACTACCATGTACAAACAGGTTGTTATAGGCGGCTGCAGGGATACGTGTTTGGCAGCAGATGGAAGTGTGGACTGGCCGTCATCCAGCAGTGGATTGACAAAAAGGGCTGTGCATGTCAAATGTAAAAATCTTAAGCCTTAGCAAAATGGTCAGTCTTAGACGTGTCATCCTCCTGCCCCTTGTCCCCGATTGTCCCAGGTCTCCTTGAAGGAGGAGCGGGGTCAGGTGTCCACCTTGCGCCACTCCGTCAAAGAGAAGGACCTGGCCCTGCGCCGACAGTCGGAGCTGGAGAAGAGGCTGGAGGAGATGGAGGCTCATCGCTCCAGCATGGTGCTGTCCCAGGATGGGCTGCCATCCTCCCTGCTCGCTCTCCCCAGCGCTGACACTGCCTCAACCCCTGCCTCCGATCGAGCATCGGGTGAGTTCATCTGACCAAACAACACCAAAAGGAAAGGGCCCGCTGGGAAAGCATGTGGTTTTTGTCTGTAATTTTCCACCGAGCTCATCCATTGGCATCACATTGCAAGATGAAGAATCCATTCAGAACTCTTGCAGAGCAATGCAACCCTTCGTGTTAGATCAGGGGTCGGCAAACTGCGGCTCTGGAGCTGCATGCGGCTCTTTAAGGACTGTTGCTTCGTGACGTTATTTATTAAGGAAACACCGTCTCGTATTGACATGCATTCATACTCTTAGGTTTTTTCGGTAAAGTCACGTAGGTAAAAAATAAAATTATTTTATTTTGTTTCTATTAATTTTATATTTTACCTACGTGACTTTACCGAAAAAACCTAAGAGCATGAATCCTTGCAGTCACGAAAGCTTCAAATTTAGAATTGTCATGCATTGCTGCTCTTTAAATATAGAGGGTTTTTACCGAATTTGAAAAAAATGGCTCTTCTTATTTTGGTTGCCAACTCCTGCGTTAGATGAAGGCCCACAGAAGCGGATGTCACAGAGATCATTTTTAGATCCCTTCAAGTTACTTCTGCACACAATTTACAGCAGCACTTTCCCACCAGCTCTGCATATGACAGTAACGTTCATCGCGTGCCAGGCAAATGGATATTTGAATTCTGATAGCTGAAATTGTCGTCAAGGACTGGGGACGAGAGAAGAAGCTGCAGGAGAGAGAGCATGTGTCTTAGCGTTCGAGAAGCATTTGGTAGTGACGTTGCAGGGAACTGTGGGCGAAGAGAGAGGGCTGGCATGCGTGACGCATCTCACATCGCGTAACAGAGAACCTCTTTGATTCCGCATAGGGGCTTGTAAATCAGGGCACGTGAGACACCGGCCACGGAAGGATGGGTCTCTTCAAAAGACTGTTGTTGTCGTTTCTGGTAATGCAGTAAAGTCATTCATTTTTGGGATTTTTTTGACATCCGTAAGTCATGTGTTTCGTTTCTGCATTTTCATAAACATGCTGTGCATATTTTCATCGTTGTTTTTTCTTTGTAGGGAGCACAGAAAGTAAAGAATTAGACTTTACTTGAATCGGTCATTAATTGTTGACATTGGGGTTTATGCATTCGTTTATCTTGGTGTTTCATTAAACAGGGCGCACCGCTCTGATTAAGCAGTTGGTTGACTTGATGAATGCTGTTACGCAAGAGATAAAAACTATGTAAATCCGTACTTCACAGGGGTTTACATATATTAATAGATGTTGCATGGATATTTATCCAGTTTAATGTTTTTTTACCGGAACAATTCAATGGGTGAGAGAAAGCTCTGTTGGGAAATGAAGGAGACAGGAAGTCGCAAGATACGTTAAAACAACGACAATGGTTTTCACAGTAAAACTTGTTACTTCCTGTAGTGGGGACATTCTAAGTAATGCATAAAATCAATCAGCTTTCAGTACTTCCACTTACAATGTACTTCTATATTTAATCGTCTTATTGGCCATATGGGCTTGTATTAACTAGCACCATTTGTATAAGCAAACTCTGGACCAGTTTCGACCTCGTCTCATCATCACCGTCACGTTCTGCTGAAACGCTTAGTATCGTACCGCCTGACATAGGCCGATCGTCTAAACATTATACTCTCTATGAGAAGTTGCATAAATGCGACTACAGCGTGCTAACAGCAGTGGAGTGCCATTCCAGATCTTTGTCATACACAAAACGTTGGTTATTAACAGCACAGCTGGCACTGCTGTTAGCACCCTGTCGTTTTGAAATGAGGAATTTAAACATATTTGATTTATGGCATCACGTGAGCGAAATACTTCCCCCGATGTTGAGCTGCAAGATGGGCAAGTCATATCAAGAGAGGTGTGGGGCTGAGAAGTGATGGTATGAACCGATTAACTATGCAAAGCAGGGTGTTACTAACCTGTGCGTAGCAACACAGTGAGCACAATAACATTGTTAGTTATGGATAGGGGAGCCTCCATTAAATAAATAATATTACTTATTTAATTGCGAGGCATGTAACGATTTTCTGCCTCATCCCACCTTGTGGTTTGTTGAATTATCATTCTTCAGGATTGTGATAATATTCGAGCATCAATTGTGTTCTGCCGATGTGGGTGCGTGTAGAATCTCCACTTGCTGCAGGGTTGACTCGAACCAATCATATACAGCAATATACAAATTAAAAAAAGTATTCAATTTGATACATAATTCGATACCATGTGTCATGAACATCAGAATAAATTTCAATCGATGCATCCTTACGTGCCTGCCATTTTGCCCATGAGAGTTTCGATCGAGTCTGAAGATTGTGTGCGTGTCCCGTGCCATCTCTCCCACCTCCTCACCTGCTGTAGAAGCGCCGACACCACTGCTGGTCTCAGGCCCACCTGCTCCCCCACCACCGCCGCCGCCACCACCACCTCCCCCGGGGGTCTCCCAGGATCTCCCGCCGCCCCCTCCTCCTCCGCCACCCGGCATGGGAAAGGCTTTTCAACTGTCCAAGGGGGCGCCTCGCCACGGAGCGTTCAACAGTCCCACTGTGCCAGGAGGTAGGCAGTTGCTTGTCCATCTGTCTGAAAGTGTGTGTTTTTGTCTGTGCCTGCTGTGGGAAATATTCGTTATTTATTTTTCTGGAAATTGTCGCCGAATCTCAATACTCTCATTTTCAGAAGGGTCCTGCTACATTGAGATGTTTGGACAATTCTGTTCATGAGTGCTTGGCATATGGAAGTCGGTGTTGTTACAGGCCTTTGCTGGATGTGAGAGTATTTGACCATACTTCACGCCGGTTACTACGGATTGGTCAAAGCAGGGAGCATAGACACAGGGACATAGAAGCACAGCACAACAATGGATTTTAATTTACTGCCGTTGTGCTGTCCACAGCGTAGCTCCAACAGGAACTTCACTTGTTCCCGTCATCCAAAGCAGTTTACTAAAACTAAGTGAATAAGCACTCTCATAACTGGTAACCCACAGCCGGCGTTAACCCTAAAGCTCGAGAGTAATTTTAACATTCATCTGACATACACAGGAGGCCGTGGGGTGCAAGATCACACGGACGTGCTGAGAATTAGCGTGGCTCTCAGATATTTTGTTGTTTGCTGGCACTCACCTCAACGAATTCTGCCTCATGACTGTTGCTGGCTTAAATTATGGACTGGCTTCTGTGTGCATGTGTGTGAGCGTGCTTTGTTGCTTTTAAACCTCACAAATTATCCTTGTTTTATTTACCCATTGCAAAAGCAAGAACAAGCCAGCACTTGTGAAATCATGAAATCGGAGACAATGCTGGGTCACTAAAGCAAAGCTTTAGCCTCAGAAAATGCCTGCTGTGTGTATACACACACACACAGGATTCAACCAGTTCAGATACAATCTTTAGTTTTCAGAGGATCTAATCCAACATTTATCTTCTCGATGATTAATGTGAACTGCTGTAAATCAGTGGTGCCGACTCCCAAGAGCAAATCCTGTCTAGATGTCTGCCAGCAAGACGGAGCCTGTGTTGTGTGTTATCACATGACGTAACACAAATCGATTAATTCTACAATGATTGATAGGCCCTGGAAAAGCCATGCCGGAGAGCCAAGCGTCTTGTATTTAATCGATAAAGGCCTGGAGGTACTTGATCATTTGTTTCTGCAAAGAGTACTTGGGGTGGTGATTGGTTTATTTACCATGCGGGTGGCGTTTTGCAGGCTTAAATATAAAGCAGTGCACAATCGTGAGCAGTTTGGTGTGGGTATGGCTTTACCCTGCATTGGAGGTAGTAGATGACCAAAGTCCACGCTAGCATTGATTATTACCAATGCTGGCCAAGTGAGCCAAATATTTAAACAGCTGTCAGGCTGGCCCAGTGGCTTTGGTTTATTGCGTTTCAGAGTGGTTAACTTTTAGGTGAACAGACTTATACGTGATGGTGTTTGCTTATTGAATTAAGAACGCCAAGCACCTAATCCTAATTGCTCACGGTCTATCGAGCAGATAGAAAGTAAACAACCTATTGAAATTAAATATATATGGGATTGTAATGCTTTCCGGCGAAGGTTGAAAGCGTTTATACATTGGCAACGCCTCTCTCTCAGTTTGCAATGGGGTGGGGGAGCACGATAACGCTCGTGAAGACGGCCAATTTCAACCAAACCGACACATTAATAGTAGAGACTTGCCCAATTGAAAACTGGCCTAATTGCTCTTAAGGGTAGCCCAAAATATGGAATCACAAACCAGAGCAAAAACAGGATTATTTGCAAAGATGCAAACATGTTTCACCTTGACAGCTCGGCTTCCGTGTAGCAAATAAATACCCTCCTTCCCCCACCCCCCCGCGAGGGCATGCGCGTTAGAAAAAGTAACGAAATTAGTGTGCGCGTGTGCACGATAGTTCCCAACTTTGTTTAATTTAAATGATTATCGCTCCGGAGCCTAGTGAAGTGTGTGCACAGGACGCAACCATTTCGCACCACCTCTCTAAATGCCCACGGTTTGTTGTTAGGAATACTTCAAGCTCGTTTGGCGTGTCAACGTAGGGCGCGGGGCCGTAACGCGAGCGCGGTGTGTCGAGATTCCGCGGGAGATGCGAGATGCCGAGATCAGCATCTAATGCTGTGTTTTATTTTATTATTTGGGAAAAAAGAAAAATGCTGCCCTGCCAGTACCGAGAGGAAAAAGGACACAAAAAATATATTTGGTGAATAATTCGTGTTGCGTTAGTACGCACGACAATTGCCACTTCATAATGTCGTCTCCGCCGCGTTGCGCGATGACGCGCGGTGAGCTGGAACACTTTGTGTGTGCAGGACTCGTCGTTGTAAACATTATTTAGTAAATCTTGACTTAAAGCTTTCGTGACTGCAGGAATTCATATTCTTTGGGTCTTTTGGTAAAGTCGCGTAGATAGAAAAAATTATAACTTTATTTGTATTATGAAGGTCGCTTGTGTTGCGATCGAAATGTCGTGATTTGTTTTATTTTATTTCTATCTACGTGATTTTACCGAAAGACCCAAAGAATATTATTTAGTAAGCTTCCTATTTGCCTAAGGACATATTTGCCACGTTCTAGTAAGGTGCAACTACAATGACCAGCCTGTGTTCTATGCCTCATTTTTGTTGGACCCCATGTGTATGTGTGTATATTCATTCGGGTGTGTAGTTATGCTTCAGTTAATGCTGTATACTGAAGTAAATTGCATTTGCAAATGCATATACACTGCAAATACTCAAAAACAGCTGTTGTGCCAAGCTCGGTGCACTTTCAGGCTCTGTGCAGTATCTGTTGGAAGGAGGTCACAGAGCAGACCCTGGTGCTATGATATATTTAATACAGATTTAAACTCAAAGAGCTCATGTTTATCCTCCTGGACTGGTTTGTTCCTATATACAGCACATACTCAACTGAATTGATTCAGTTCCTGAAGAAGCTCCTAGCACGTAGATTGAAACGCCACAAAGCAAAACGTCGAACATCACGTCAAACAACACGCGGTACATCCCACTGTGAAGCCCAACACAGTCGTAAAACACTCGTTTATGGAATTGCCCTCAATATCCTGATGCAGGACCCTCCTTAAAAGGAGTCCTTAAGACTCGCTGAGGCTTTCCTCGATGAATGGCATCATCATTATCACGATTGTTACCGAGGTACATTATTGATGCCGTGCGTCCCCCCGCGCTTTGTTCCCTGCGCTTGTGCCATCGGCCACTCCAGGCATGCGCATCAAGAAAGCCATCCCCACCAAGTACCGTCTGCCTGTGTTCAACTGGACGGCGCTAAAGCCCTCCCAGGTTAACGGCACCGTCTTCACAGACATGGATGACGAGGAGCTGTTGCAGGTGAGTCTGCTGCACCTGCGTTCCCAGCTCCGGTGGAGCCTTTGTGATTGTTCCGTGTGTGCATGTGGGTGTGTCTTTGTGTTTGTTCAACAAGCGGGTTTGCACGCTGCGCTGTGACCCCAGCGACCCGAGTTGGATTCCCGCTCATGCCCAACACCAATGACGATAAGCGGAATTAGTCCTGGGCCTCCCCGATGTCGACTCAGCCTCAAATGAGTACTTGGTGTGATCTGTAAATGTTGCCACTGGGGAGACAAAGGTGGCCGGGCGTAGTGCTGGCCACCCACCCCCTCGTGTGCCGTGCTGGCCTTCATTGGTGTTCGCTAATAGCACTAGCTCCAACGGTCTGTTAAGGCTGTAAGGGGGTCTTTGTCCATCAAGATGCACCTGGGCACAAGCGCCATGGTAACATCACCACGACTTAGTGGCACTGCACTACGAACCCGGCGACCTGATTTCGATTGCCGTGATGAATATCTTGAACTGGTCTTGGGCCTGACTCTAGGTTTTCTCAGCCTTAAATTAGTACCTGGTGCGGTGTGTAATTGTCAGCGCTGTGTAGACAAAGGCTGCCGGGCGTAGTCCTCACCACACCATTGGTATGTGTGCCGTGCTTACTGAATTATCCTTCTGCTCCTTCGGTACTTGATGAAGAATAAATAGCCAATGATGATAATGATATACCATAGGTATGTGTTAAGAAGTGAATTGGCACTGTGGTGATAGCACTCGGCTCACAATCAGAACTACGCGAGTGACGCCACTAAGCACGCGTCCAGTGTCCGTGTTCACGCCGTGACGTCATTGCTACTTCCGAGCTCAGCATGGCTGAAAACGTCAAGCGCAGTAAAAAAAGCGAGCGTCCCTGCCCGCTTGGCGTCAAAACCCAAGCCTCCTCACTTGCCTATGGGGGGGGGTGGGGGGGGGGTCGGCCCAAGTGGGGCTGGCGTGGGAACGTGGACCGTGCCCGGTTATTAAACAGAGCCGGCAACCTTTCCCCGCCACGGCCGTTGAAACGTGGCGTGAGCATTGAAGACGGCTCCGTGCCTGCCGCACGCGCGTGTGGCGCAGGTTCTGGATATGGACTCGTTCGAGGAGCTCTTCAAGACGAAGGCGCAGGGCCCGGTGGCGACAATCCAGGTGGACGGGCCACGGTGCGACGCCGCCCAGCCGAAGGTGGCGCCCAAGGTGTCGCTCCTGGACGCGAACCGCGCCCGCAACCTGGCCATTACGCTGCGCAAGACGTCACGCTCGCACGGGGAGATCTGCAAAGCCGTGCAGACGTACGTGAAAACACACGCACGTACATATCTGATTGGCTACAACCACTCAAAATTACAATTTCTGGTATACAGACAGTCCCTGGGTTGCGGAAGAACCCAACTTGCGGAAATTTGACCTTCCGGAAATGCTCCGTTAAATCATGTTAAAAGAATGCAATATGCGGATTGTTTTGCGTGAGTAAGGCAAGCGCAAGTAGTGCAGCGTGGTGAGGTTGAGGATGAATGCCGTGGAGCGTGGGGTGTAAGGCAGGCAGAGCCTAAAGTCGAGGCCTAGCCTAATGCACGGTAAACGAACATTCGTGGTATACATAAACAATTGGATACAGTATATGTTCCATTAGTTTAATTATGGGTTGTGTTAGGGTAGATATTAGTTGAAATTAAAGAATCCTAGGAAGTGCAGAGCGTATGTACAGGGATATGATAAGGTAGCGATAGAAAACGGACGAGAGCGCGATGCAGCATTGAGAGAAAACGAACCTCGTAATAGGGTAGGGGAGGTGCAACTATTTCCAGCTATGGGATTTTATCTTCCGTAACCTGGGGACTGCCTGTATAGTTATTCTTACACATTTAACGTACAAGATGTGAATGTAAACCAGCAACAGTAACAATTGTCCGCTTGCACGGAAGCTAAAGTTACATTTGACACCTTCCCATTCTCCACCTATCACCTACATCACCTGCCTGTCCATCACCTTCACCTATGCGACTTTCCCCTTGCAGCAACAACTTCTCCAGTACATGTCCTCATTATATCAGGCTAAACAGTGCCTTCACCTTATGCGTGTGTGTGCGTGCGCGTGGGGAGCGGTAGTGTAGCGGTTAGCGCGCTGCGCTATGAACCTGGCGACCCAGGTTCGATTCCCGCTCACGGCCAACACGAGTGACGATTATTTTAACCGGTCCTGGGCCTCCCCTAGTTCGACTCAGCTTGAAATGAGTACCTGGTGCGGTGTGTAAACATCGCCACTAGGGAGACAAAGGCGGTCGGGCGTGGTGCTGGCCACTCACCCTTTCGTGTACCGTTCCGGCCTTCATAGGTGCTCGCTAACAGCACTTGCCCCTACAGTCTGTTAAGGCTATACGGGGGATCTTTATCTTTGTGCGCGTGCGTGCCCGTGTGTGCGCGTGCATACATGCCTGTAGGTACGACCTGCAGAAGCTGCCGGTGGAGCGGCTCGAGTGCCTGCAGCGCTTTGTGCCCACCGAGTCGGAGGCGTTGCTCCTGCGCCAGTACGAGCGTGACCTGCGTTCCCCCGAGGACCTGGCGGAGGAGGAGCGCTTCATGCTGCAGTTTGGCCGCGTCGAGCGTCTGTCCCAGCGCATCACCGTCATGCTCTTCATGGGCAACTTCATGGACACGGTGTCACGCCTCACTCCGGTTCGTCGACCTCGCGTAGCTTCGAGGCAGACCGGGTCCCAATTCTGATGGATTTACACTCTGAATGAAGATTTTTTTTTGCACGTTCTGATGAATTCACAATGTAAAATATGTTGTCCTACAGAATCTGATGCATTTAGACTTGGCAATGATCACCCTCAGATTTCAGTGAGTTCATACTGCTAACGATGTTCTCCAGATTTTCATGGATTCAGATTGTTGGCAGTGACCTGTCTCTTCTGTTTCAGACAGTGATGACGATTTAGATTGCCTCATTTTAGGTTCCTGATGTGTTGAGACTGGTAATGATAATCATCTGTACCTAGAGATGAGATGCCACTGTTAACAGTGACCTCACAGTTTCTAGTGGACTCAGTGTTAACGATGACCTCGTACAGATTCTAGTAGAATTCAGACGGAATCATGATCTACTATGATAGTGCCTCTGTCCTGTACCCTCTCATGCCTGCAAAGAATCAGAATCAAAATATTTTATAATTCTGGAGGAATCCGATGAGCTATTAAGCTCTTTTTTTTCCAGACATCCAGTAGGGGTGGGTAAGAACGTTACAACAAGAAACATTACAAAAATACGATAGGAGGGGTGACCGTCTCCAGCCTCCGATGGGTTTCGACTGCCACTGGCTGCCTCGAGTGGGGCCTGGTGTTGATGGAACATGATGTCCTCGGGGCAGGATCACTTCTTCATCTCCGTCCGTCCCTTTCCCCCGTTGCATTGCGCAATACTTGGCTGCCCCTCCCTTTGTAAACCCCCCCCCCCCCAGTGGCATTGGCCAGATCTCAATGCAAATGGAGCAATTCATTGCGGCGAACGTTTGTTTATTTTTCTTGTGTTTTGTGTTTACGATTGTACCCTACGTCCACACAAAGTAGTGCATGTCAGCTGTGTGTACGAAGCATTTCTCAAGCGTGTTTCAGCGATTGCCTTTGCTGTGCTCATTCACCGCAACAAAACGATTTCCTTAATATTTCCCCCCCTTTTTGTCTTGCAGTTTGTGAATGCGATAATAGCAGCGTCGCTGTCTATAAAGTCCTCTCAGAAGTTCAAAAAGATCCTGGAGGTGAGGCCTGCTCTTGTAGACGCTGCGAAACAAAGTGCGGGCAATAACTGAAAATACCGATTAGCTAACCAGCCACATGAGTACTCGCGCCGCCCACAGACACTCACCCATAAACAGCGTTCGGCAACCAACAGAAAGTATTATCTCTAACACTGACATCCAAGGCAACAAAATGCCAGCCAATACCCTTGACTCAAAACTACTCTAGCCAACTGAGTGATAGTACTAACCCTAACCAATAGCCAACCATCAACTAGCATTAGTCCATACTCTTTGGTTCTTTCGGTAAAGTCATGTAGGTAGAAAAAAAAAGTACTTTTTTATTTTGTCTTATTTTATTTTTCACCTACGTGACTTTACCGAAAGAGCCAAAGAGTATGGATCCTTGCAGTCACGAAAACTTCAAATCTAGAATAGCATTAGTCCCTCACTGACCCTAACCAACGGGCCGACCAGCCACCAACACTAGCCCTCATGTTGATCCTAGCGCTATCTCTACAATCACCTTCAACACATCCCAGAGCCCCTTGAAATTTTGTTTGTCTCAGTGTCGATGTTCACAGCGCCATCACCCAAGTTGGCCACGCCACCCCTTCCGAGCATTGTGCCGTCCTTAATAGGTGCTCGCGAACAGCTTTTGCCTCAACAGCCTAATCTTTGTTTGTCTCTGCTGCACGCAGCTTGTCCTGGCGTTTGGAAACTACATGAACAGCAGCAAGAGGGGGGTGGCATACGGGTTCAAGCTGCAGAGTCTGGACCTCGTGAGTGAATCCTCTTCTCTCACCACAGTGCTACGCGTGTCTTTCATAAAGCGCTTTTGTGAGAGCGCTTTACAAACATTATAAATTGTACATTAGTATTGGCTGATGGAGTTTGAGTGTTGGGGAGGGATGGGGTGATAGGGAAAGGGAGGGGCGAGGTTAGAAAGGGGGAAGATGGTTAAGGTTTTAAGGACAAGGAAAGGAAGTATTGGAGGGATACGCTTTTGAAAAAAGTTGATTCTTAAGCAAGGAATGAAAAAATTGTGCTTGTTTGTCAACTTTTATGTGGAGTGGGAGTTTATTTTAATGGAGGTGAGAACTCAATAGACCCAGGATCATTTACTTTGCAAAAGATAGTACTGTGTTGGAAATCCCCAGCTGTTTCCCCCACTCGTTAGAATCTAAGGCAACGTGGAAATATGATCGAAGAAAATAAATGTGCTATTAATTGAACAGGGGAAAGCAGAAGTGTTTGTTGGGTTGGGTGTTACTATGAAGCTAGTTGTGGAGATTTTGGCAAGGGTGTGGGTGGTGTTCATATCACAATGAACTAATATGCAGCATTCGAAGGGTGTGAATGATGTTCATTGCACAGGGAGGTATTACTATAGTGTGATTTTTATCAAGTGACTTTCAGCTATGGTATAGTGATGTCGTGGTTTCATGTTTTATAACATCGTTAACATGACATCACATCAGTGCTGTCGTGGTACACTTGAGTACCACCACATTAATAAACCTCAAGCCGGATATTTCAGAACACAAACTAAAGTGCATGTATTCAAGACGATAGCTGTTTTTATTCGCATGTGGGAAAACACAAAAACGAATTGCATAGAGATCAAATCGCGTGTGATAGAGCAGAAATGCTCAAATCTTTACAGATAGGTCAGCGACCTGCTACCTCCTTCACGCTACAGACACCGCCTTGTTGCGCTACAAGCGGAGCGTCTCGCGGTCTCTTGTGCACAGCGGCACCCCCCCCCCCCACCCCGCGTGACCCACGTGCTCTGTCCCTGTGCATCTGTCGGCAGCTCGGGGACACCAAGTCGACGGACAGGAAGTTGACGCTGCTGCACTACCTGGCCGACGTGGTGCACGCCAAGTTCCCCGAGGTGGCCTCCTTCTACTGCGACCTCTGCTTCCTTGACAAGGCCGCAGCAGGTGCCGCCCCCATCTCTCCCCCCATTTGTGCTACTTTTAGCGTTTTTATCATATCTCTGAGACCGTGTAAACGGATTTAAATTGTAATGCACAGAGAGGTTTCCCCCGCTTCATGCGGCAGATGCGTTCGGGGGAAAAAAACAGGCGCACGAAGCGAAACCTCACAAGACAGCTGCCTGCCGAGTCACGCACACAATACCTACACGCAACGTTGTGCCACGTCTGACTGCATAGCCTTATTTAGTAAATTCAAACCGCATGCAGTAGATTTTGGGTAGAAATAGGTTTGCCAGATATATACGCAAAATTGGACAAACCGAACCCACATAAAGCGGAGGGAACCTGTAATTACGCGTTTTAAGGCCATTTGTCAATTGACTGCGGGATGAAGGACTCCCCACGCCTTGTCGGGCATGGGGTGGGTAGGGGCTTAGGGGTTTGTTTGGCCATAAATCACCACCCTAGTCAGTGCGAGTTGGTGAAGAAGGGACCTAGCACAGGTTCGAATATCACTTGCTACCAATGTTAGCTGTGGTTTGGAATCTTAAGTCAGGTGGCCGGGTTCATAGCGCAGCGTGGTAACCACTGCGTCGCTGTTTACTAATCAAACATTCTGACCTGTTTCACACTTCATCACGCTGGTCAGTGCGAGACCAGCAAATGTATTGTGAACCGATAATCGAGTTGTTTAATCTGTACACTAGATTGTCATTGACGCAGAAAATGGAATAAACAGTCATAATCGTTGTCTGTGCTGTTGGCGCTGCTGCTGCTGGTGCTGCTGCTGCGACGATGGTGGTGTCGGCGCCGCAGTGTCGATGGACAGCGTGATGCAGGACGTGCGTGAGCTGCAGCGCGGCATGGAGACCACCAAGCGCGAGGCTGCCCTGCACGAGTCCAACGTTGGCCTGCGCCGCTTCATTGAGGCCAACGATGACACGCTGAGCCGCCTCGTCGGCGATGCCAACACCGCCAAGGTACGACACCGCCTCCGCTGCGCTAATCCAACCGCTTGGGTGGCACAGAGTTTTCTTTGGTCATCCTTGCCAGCGTCCACAGCTGCTCGGGGCTTATTCTGTATGTCAGCGTTATACAACAGGGTCACGAATGTCATGCAAGAGAAGGCCACCTGACTCCACGCCCACTACCCATCATCCCTCACTTCGATGTCTGTACTCAGATGGCTCAGCGGTAGAGTGAGTGGCTCGCAATTCCGGTTGGGTGCTTACTTAGCCCAGCATCCGTCCGGGGTTGGTAAAATCAGTACCACTTTGTGGGGAACTCAACCGTGATTTTCCTATGATTAGACGATTAGACTCGCCCTTGCTATAGGACAATGGGATTTTCACCACTGGCTGTGCAGGGCTGTTGACAGGAGATGAGCATCGCCTCAATGCTCTTTTGAGCAGGAAATCGCTTTGACCTTGAAGCACAGTCGACTGCGTCAGTCTGACATGCAATTGTGGTTTCTCATAATGGTGTATACTGTATGAGTCAATTTCTTACCATCCGAACAGTATAGAGGAGACCAGGCGTTTGTGAAAAGCATTTGGTCTCGGTGCAGTAGTATATATATTTTACATGTATATAATAATTATAATTTGCTGTTCTTTGACAATCCACTGCTGGATGAAGGCCTCGACTCTGGGTTCACAGCACAGTATGCTAACCACTGTGCAATCGCTCTACCCTATTTTATAATATAGTATACATTTAACAAGCATATACTTCTTATTAATGTGAATACAACATAAAATGTACATTAATATGCAGCAGTGCTTGGTAATGATATACAGTGATAATGTAGCATCTATTACAATTCCATTTGAATTTATAGAGCTTCTAAATGTATCCGCAGCCAGCCAGCCTTACCCAGAAATCACTCCTACTCTCCCAGGATGCCTTTCAGGTGGCCGTGGAATACTTTGGCGAAACTCCCAAGACGATGCCTCCTTCCAACTTCTTCCCGGTGTTCTCCCGATTTGTGAATGCGTTCAAGGTAACGGCTGTAAATACACTTAGTGTTTGACCATGTGTGTGTAGTCAGATGAGACCCAATTGAGGCTGAGTATCTCGTTTACAACAGAGACCTCAGGTATTTTACTCTTCATCTGGATAGTTTTAATTTGGGCCTTGATAACAACGCCCAATGGTCTATTATTGCGTTTCATGTCACATGGGTGAGATGGAAGGAAGCAATGGAACGAGATACGAAGATGGGGATGTGATTCGAGAAGTTGCACACGGTGAAAGAAATCTGAGTAGCTGACTCCACGATATAGTTTGGCTTAGAAGAAGATATTAGATGGTCTTCGAATGTCCACTTTAGTTAGGTAATTCCCCTGTAATTGATATCTGGAATTGCAACGATAGTGCACAGTACTTTTAGTTGATATCTACTTGAAGTTACTACATGGCTGATCAGTTATCTACTCGGGTACAACACAATTAAAGTTTTTATGTGGTGAGACAGATATACGAAGGAGACAGTCTGCTTATCTGCTTTGTTATTTGTATTCTCTAAAATGACACGAGTGATTATTTTGTGTTGTACTTATGTACAATTACACGTAAACACGTGCATGCACAAGGTGCTCGTTTAAATAAGCATGACTGCTTTCATGGTGGGTAATACAAAAATGGGCTCTGAGTAAATATTCTAGGCCAGGCACGTGTTACGGCTCACATTCAAGCCAAACCAGCAGGTGCGTGGAGGATATCTATTTTGTTCGCCAAGGATTCAAACGGATTCGGGTTCGTTACCACCGAATCGTGCTCTGGTGCAGTCGCCACAATCAGCTGTAAGCAGACTCGGACCATCGTTCGTATTTCTTATGCACGCTCTGAAAAAAAAATCATTCCACCAGACTGTGAAGGGCTAACTAATTTGCATTCGGGCAAAAATGTATTGTTGCGTATAAACAAGGAAACGGCAGCGTGGGCGCACCTTTTGTGAAAACGAGTGCCCTGTTTTCAGCAGACCCCACGAGGCCAAATTTGTCCACCACTGGTTTCCATATTCTCAGCCGCTTTGAATTGCGGATGATTTGTGCCTCTTCCATGCATCGTCTTGGCACGGGGCCCCGCGACTCCCGCGTGAAGCTGTCCCACCTTTGTTATTTCTGTCCTCCGCAACCCCAAGAGAAACTCTATCTGTGCGCGAGCGCACTGCTGCCACGGAGTCTACTGTGCCAAGGGGCGAAACGAGGGGAGGGGAAAGCGGAAATTCTTAGTTGTCGCTGCAAATGCCAAGGACTCGTGGAGCCAAATTAGTGCGTTGGTACTGTGCCAATTTAGCATAACTGTGAAACCGTTAACGAGTCAGAGTTTTACTGTAAACTTGACACAACGCAATATTGTTCTGATAATTTTAAGCGAATTTTGTCAAATAAAAACGTCTGATTAGTACTATTTACATTGGCACACATTGTCTATTTGATATTTTTTTATATAATTCAATTGGTAATGATAATGTATTTTAGAAAAAGAGGTGTTCATATTGCATAACTTTTTCTTTATGAATAGCAAGTCCATAATTTTCTTTAAAAACTCAACATGTTCGTCGGTGACATAACCTAGGCTATAAGTCTACTATACAGGTATTGTTTGACTCGGCCTAGTCTCCACACTCGTTTACATGGACACGTTCCTTTTAATATTCGTTTAATTCCTTTCTGAGTCCCGTTGCTCTGTGTGGGAGTAAACCAGCAGTGTGCATTTTTTAATAAAATATCCAAAAACATCTCAGCCCCTGTCTCCTGGTTCGCGTAGACATAGCATGCGCTCAGACCATGGCATGTGCTCTGACGTAATCATTCGCAACCTTGGAGTGGCTGTGTAGTGTGGGAGTTCTCACTGAACAAGGTTTCCTGATAGGACTCCTCTGTTTACCCGTACCCCCCCACTCCCCCGCATGTGCCCTCTTCTCCGGCAGAAAGCGGAAAAGGAGAATGAGTCGAGACGCTTGCAGGAGGAGAAAAAACAGATGCTGGAGGAGGCAGCCAAGGAGGAGAAAAATGTAGGTGCATGTGTGCATAAGCATTGTCAGTGTTTGTGTGTGGGGGAGTGGTAGTGTAGCAGTTAGTGTGCTGCACTACGAACCCGGCGACCCGAGTTAAATTCCCGCTCACGGCCAATACCGGTGACTAATATCTGGGCCTTCCCTAGGTCGACTCGGCCTCAAATGAGTGCCATCGCCACCAGGGAGACAAAGGTGACTTGGCATATCGTGTACTATGCTGGCCTTGATAGGTGCTCGCTATCAGCACTTGTTCCAACAGTCTAAGGCTATACTGGGGGATCTTTATTGTTGCTTAGTGCGCGTGTGTACGTACTGTATTTGCACATTATTGTCCATGTACATGGTATATATGCACGTTGCAATGTATGCATGAACGTGTATATAATGTATGTTGAATACATTTGTAAGTGTGTGAACACGATGCCCTATGTCTGTAATTAATAATACATACAATGTAAATCCCTGACATGTTGTGGTACAGATGTCGGCAAACGACAAGGGTAAGCGTCAGCAGATGAATCTCATCGCCGAGCTGACCAAGAAGCAGGGCAACAAGCGCACGATGTACGAGGGCAAGGATGGCGCCATTGACTCCATCATCACAGGTCAGAGGCCACAGCTGCCCACTCGCACACACTTGCGCTCAATCCTACGCACGAACATACACACATGCAATTCCCACTTAGCTCTACTCTTGAACGCCCGCTCAGCCCCACTCACGCACGCATGGTCACACGTACCTGCTCGTCCACCACTCGCAAACACTCGTACACACCCGCTCACCCGATTGTACACGTGCACACACCCCCGCTCGCTCCCACTCGGCAATACTTATTTACACGCTGGTTCACTAAAACTCACCCGTGCAGACATACAGCCGCTCACTCGCACACACACATTGGTTCACCCAGATTTACCCTTACACACACACTCACCAACGCTCACACACACTCACCCCCTCTCACACACTGGCCTCCTCTCACCCATGCACTCATACATACACACAAGTATTCACAGATACATACCCTAACCAATCACCACATATGCACCCGTGTCACGATACTCCTTTCTTTGCGAAAAATATTTTGTTATAAAGACCATTGTGCATGTGTGAGTGTGCTTGTGGTACGTGGCACTTGGGTTTGTGTATTTACGTGTGTAGTGTATTTTATTTGTGTTATATACATTTAATTAACTTTACGTGCTGCATGTACTTGTATTGTGAATGTGTGAATGAGCACCTGTTGAAGTACTCCCAACGTCATCAGCACTGGGGAGACGAAGGCAGCCGGGCATGTCTGGTGCTGGCCACACCTCTTCCTGATATGCACTGCTGGCCAAAAGTCTACGGCAGGTTTTATAACAGACCAAAAAAGAAACACCCATCGTAAACATTTTACAGAAATACATTCCTGACCTCTGATTAATTTGTACGCTCCGAGTAGGAAAGTGCAAATTCATTGATGGCAACCTCGAGCATGAACTGCTCTCTTTGTTAAGGCCCTGTTAGGTGACAGACACTGTATGCAATAGGATGCACCCGTGCTTGTGTGAACAATGGCTCAAGTTAAAGTGGGGTTGCCTCATGCTGAAGTCATCGAAAACACCAGCGATGCAATCGAAATGCAAATTTCCATGTTAAAGTGGGTTATTGCTCCGAACCCAGCGACCTAATTTGGGTTCCTGGCCACAATTGATATCTGAACCGGTCCTGCTCCCCACCACCACACTGCCCAGCATGGTGAAATATGGTCAAGGCATCTCCATCACCACTTTACACGGCATGAGGAGACCTTTACATATAAAAAGCCTTCCATCATCCTCCTCCTCTTTCCTTCCAATTCTTGGTCTTGTTTCATCCTTCCCATGATTCCTTGATTGTCATCTCTGTTGTAACGCTTAGAATGTCAAGAGTGGTTAAAAAGGTTTTCCACAGGGGGCATATCGACCATAGCATGGGCACATGTACACCTTGTCAGACTTAATAACATCAGACTGATATAACTCATCATCAAGCTATTAATAGCATTATCATTGTCATAATTATTTGTAAAGTGCTGCTCAAGATAATCAGCCTGAATCAACTGCATGGACCATCCAAGCAGCCAGCAGTAATTCTATAACAACGGCAACGGGAGCACCAAGGTGGCTTAATATTCACATCATCTCGTTTTTTGCGATGCAGGCACCATCTCATATAGGAAGCGAAGTGGGGGAGGGAGCCTCAATATCGACGTCCTCATTGTAAACTTACAACTCTGAGCGGTAGATTAGGGACTGACTTTGGAGGTCACGTCTTGACCGTGCAATAGCTACCGGATCTGGCAGCAAGAAGGCAGTGATAGTGAGGTGAGGGGGAATCGACGGCATTGACAATTAGGACCACATTGCATTAAGTGCGTCCCCAGCTGCCCTGGGGAGCTGCCTCTGAATGTATTGATCTATCGTAATATATTTATACATTTATTAATTTCCAGCAGCATTACTGACCAATGTGGGTTTTTAGATATCCGTGCCTCCGAATGGGCGTGGGTAAATTCACAAAAGCCCCCCCCCCGCCCCCGCACGTTTGTTTGGCCGTGTCTTTTATGCTGTCCCCTCTCTTGTGTTGATGCTGAACGATTCTCCTGTCCCTCTTGCGCGCAGCTGCTGTGGTTCCGCTCCACGGCCGCCTGGCTCCTGTCCGTGCGCGCGGGGCCTGATGTTGGGGCGAAGCGTTCTCAAAAACCCCTTCCGGCACAGCTCGCTTCTTCTTCTGATTCTTCTACTTCCCTATCACCACTTTCCTGACCAGGTCCTCTGCTTCTTCCTTTTCCGTGGAGGTCGTGGGTTCGATCCCCGACCCTGACTGGCCTGTATGTATGGAGTTTGCATGTTCTCTTCATGGTCACGTGAATTTTTCTCTGGGTCCTCCGGTTTTTCCCTCCACATTTAGAAACGCGCATTCAGAGTGTTTGGCATGATAAGCCACTTCGTTGAGCTATCATTTGTGGCCAGGTCGCTTATGATAAAATAGCTCTGGGCCTTACCTGGTAAAATTAAAATAATTTAGTTACGTTTTTCCACTTTGTAATAGTCTTGTAATTTACTGGTATACATGTGAGCCCCCTGTTAAAGTAGTGAAAATACAACAACAATATTACTAGAGTGGTTTGAGGCTTATGCTGCTCAAGAACATACATAATGCATATAATTATGTTTTTAGACATCAATGCACACATGTTATGTGTGACGATGTTAATTAGGGATGGAAAAATTCAATCCCCTTCTAATGCAATTAGCGGTTGGGTTTCAGGGTTGCGACCTGATCTGGTTTGTCTTACATTGTGATGAAATTAGCGACCTCAAGTGAATACAGGGGTCACGTGAACTCATTAACATACCACATGCAAGAAAACTAACAATATCATTTATACGGACGTGAATCGATGCCGCTTAACGATTGACATTGTCACAACCTCAACACACAAATGCTTATTCTCTACACAAGCTGATGTAAGTGTACATCTAAACCTCATGAACATCTGGGGTGAAAAACATTTGCTTGGAATACAATTGCACGTCGTTTTTAATTGTCACATTTTGCTCCCTTGTTTGGTACCTCCAATTGAAATGATTATTCATGTTCATTGTCTTCTCATTTGGTTGTTTACTGTTCCATTGTCACTGATAACTCATTCCCATCCCATGTTGTCACACTAACTTCACAGCTGACCGCTGTTTGCCTGCCTCTACCGGTGATGGTTTTTCTTCATCTCATCATGCTGCTTGAACCGTAGCCTAAAAGAGTTCCAGCGAAGAAGACCCAGTCTCCTTAATCAACCTCGCATTTATGATGAAAGAACCTCGTATTCATATCGATCCTATGTGTTTGGCCTTATCGATACACCGGGTCAGACATTTTCCCTCTGCTGGAGGATATTTAAACTATATATATATATGAGATGTTAAAATATTTTAATATTACAGAATTTCTTACACGCAAAGAGCGGATAAATTACGATTCCTAGCAACCCTGCCTTGGTTCTTGGAAACGGTTAGCAAAAACAAATTTGACACAACAGCAAGAGGTACTGGATATAATTTGCAGGACAACACTTTACAAAACTGTTAATGTGACTTAATAATTTAATTTACCTTTCCCCCTCTTCCTCTCTTCTTACCCGCTAGACTTGAAAAAAATTGCCTTCAAAGCAAACGGGGTTTCAAGGGTAAGAGGAGCGGCCGAGGACAGGGCAGCGTAGCGGAGCACCCCCCCTGAGAACGGTGCCGTGGGGAAGAGCGCAACGCTGCGCTTCCCCTCTCGCCCACCCGCCCACCACCACCACCACCACCCCACGCGCTTGCACCCGTCTCGGCCATCTTACCCCTCCACCGCTGCGGCGGCAGTCATGGGGTGGTGGGTCCTTGGTGGGGGGGGTTGTGGTGGGCGGGGGTGGTGAGCGTGCGAGGGAGCGAGCGGACAGCCAAGCGAGCGCTTTTCCCCCGGGCGGTCTCCTCGGGGCGAGTCCTCCGCCCTCGCCGCGCCTGAAATGCGTCTGCAGCTTCCACGCGCGCGATGCGACGCCGATGCTTTGCATGCCGCGTGTTTTTTTTTTTTTTGCCGCCACGGAACGCGGTGAGTGTTGACTCGGAATCAGGAGTTGATGAGTTGGTCGTTTAAGCAAGTCGGCCAGTCGTTCGATAATGATTCAACTTGAGCCGTCGACGTTAACGGCCAAGTGTATCCTCCCCGACTCGGGAGGGCGAAGCTTGACCACGCAGATCATCGCCAGAAGCTTTTCGTTTGAGGGCTCATCAGCTGACGTACGGAGCAGTATTTGTCAGAGAGTAACCCTTACAATGTTTAAACAGTGTTAAAATAACCGTCAATGAACTGTCCATGGCAGTCAGGTTCGTTCTCTGGTGTAGGGTAATGTCCTGCAGGTCAAGCAACTTTTGCACAAGACTACTTTCTTTTTGGTTTCTTATTTCGACAAATGCAATCATATTCCTGATTCCTGTATATCAGTCCGCTTGCTGTGCGTGCGACTTTAACCGAAAAACCATCATTCTAACCAAAGAGTGGCACTTACTGCTTTCAGCCTTGAGTGTGGCTTGCATACAACTGCATGCAACTAAACGGCACAGGTCAGCATCAACAAGGCTACATCATCCTTTAATTTCCTTGAAAGTAAATGATGTACAATTACCAAAATACATAGCGTCATATTCATTTGGATTAACCTTCAAAAGCAGCGTTAAAGCATTTGTCACAAGCTAAGACGTCTACAATACTGTGAATGCCGCATTATGTATATTAAGCAGAGTGAGGTCGTGTTGGCCAGTTGATTTGGTTGTTATCTTGCCTTTCACCGTTTCAATTTTGTAAGAATGCGTTTTTATTTGTAAACAGTGATTAGCACTCTGTGTAGGTGAAACTGGATGTCAATCTCTGCCATAGAGAATCATCCACGGCCGAGTGATATCTAAACCGGTCCTGGGTTTGTTCCCCCTTGACCAATCCACACTGACCAGCGTGGTGAAGTACGGTCAAACACACCCCCGTGACTGACGTGACATTTGAACCGTCGACGTTAATCCAGCAGTGGATTGCAAAGGTCCTTAAACTATTATTTGTGATCATTTTAAACTGTACTTGAAGCTGATTGTGTACGTCTCACGATGTTTCTTAGAGTCCCAGTTCTCATCGCCTTGCTTGTTGCGTAATTACTTGCAGGCAACCACTGCCTTTGGAGTATTCTTTAGTTTACAATAAGACACTAAAAACAAACTAAACTTTTTTTATTTAATCACATTAAACGTGCGTGAAAAATATTTAATTGAGTGGAAATAAATTCATAAACAACATTTCTGGGGGCGTAGAATGCAGGGCATTTTATTTGCTTCAATAACTTTAGCGAAAATGTTTGTTAATTTTCCAGGCTGTCTGATACGAAGGCGGCGCTGGTTTGCAACGCCTCTCTTGCCATCATGCTACCGAGTGCAACACCATACTCTGCCATATTCATTTGAGGACAGGGGAACAATTGGAGCTCGCGCCTGAACAAATGTTAAAAAAGAGAATCTTTAGAAAGCTTGAAAAACACACGCAACAACCGCAAAACAATTTGCGCAAGCACGTGCCGAAATTCTGTCATGGTCACAGCTGCTCAGAGCGAGACTGTGTTCCTTGTCCACGACTGTGGGAGAGACGCACTTCGCTATTTTAAGGAGCGCTTCGTCGGTTGCGTTCTTGGCTTGAAAACTCGACTCGTCAGACGTTACTGCTGTGGAGAAGGGGAAAAAAATGTAATGTCAGTGAAGGGATACATTTGTAAATGATGGGAAGTAACTGCTGTGGTGCTCATGACACATGGGGGGGTGGGTGGTTTTTTGGGGAACTGGGTGTGACCGAGACAGGCACACGACACGTGGCTCGCCTGCCACTGACGGAGTGGGAATGTAGATAAAATATAAGCTAATGGGGTTCCGACATACAAATAACAGTTGTGATTGTAAAACTACAGGCTAATTGGGCTACTGTGTACTAGGCTCATATGCTGTAATGTAATTGTGTTAGTGATAGTCATATTAATGATCGGAAAGAAAAATACATCGGCAGTGATGATAGGAAATGGAGTCCTTACTGACTGTATCGCGATTAAATCATGACAATAGTACAATATGCAAACGTGCCTGAGAGTACGTCCGCTACGGAGAAGGCACGATGAAATATGGAAGTATGTAGTGTGCTAGGTGGATTGTTACACCGCAGGACGGTGTGAGATAGCGACTTCATCCAGCTGTGGATTGACCATGGCTGATTATGATGAGAAACATAGTGCGAATCGTGTTGCCGACGACGATAATGGGGTGGATTCAATGCCCCCCACACACCCTTTTGGAAAAAGGAAGTCCAAGTTTATTTTGCATGAGTGGTTGTGACCCCCTTTAAATGTATGGTGGTGTATGTGCCCACATTGGTCAGGGTTTATTTGTGCTAGCATTACGTTTTTAGAATACAGTGTTCCTCTCTGGCACCACCAAAGCAGCAACATCTCTTACTGGAAGAGGTGGTCGTGTTGGACGACCATGGGACCAAATCAGAATCGTATTGACACAGCTACCCAGAATCGCTGGTGAGCACACCATGTGTTCACTGGGGTAATGATTTATGTAAAAAAAAGAAGCTGCCTCTGTGCCAGTGAAAACCCAGATCTGCATGTTTAGTTGCACGCGGGGTGCTCTGGACGATGAAAAAGACCCCCGTGGGATTTTTATGAACTCCCAACTTACAGGAATGGCGCAACACTTGTTTACCGGTGAAAATCCCCGACGCGGCACTTTGCCTGCTCCGCTGGGCATCCTGAGCTGGCATCTGTCGCTGAAAAAACGTGATGGACGGTGGGAAAGAAATAACAAACATTCAGCTCTTTGGCAATTGGCATAATACAGCCAAAGAACACTGTAAACACGCAGCAAGAAGAGCATTGGCAGTAGGTAGTTGCACCAATGGTAATGCGAATTTAAATCGTTACCCAGAAGAGATCCTGAGTTTCAAAACTGCGTTTTTCATGAGGTTCCTGCTCGGGATGGTTGTCCAGTTAAACTTTTTTTGTATTTTTTAATGTAGGCCTAAATAGTTTTGAGTGGTCTCCGAAAGTTTACGCGCTGAAGTTGAAGAACACTGCACCAACTCGGACACCGCACGTATAAAATCTTCGACACCGATTTGCTGTATTGCCTCCCACAGGCACGGAATTGCCCATTTAAGTGGGTGCCTAATGCACGTAATGACTTGCATCCCTGTGCCATCCAACAACCCGACTGCACAAGCGCCTCAAAAGAGTATAAAATAACTTGACCAAATTCAAAAGAGTAGAAGCAGTAGTGTTCGACGCAGTAATGGCTGAAGTGTTAGCGGGGAAGGTGGATTATACTATAGTATTGGCTAAAGTTTGTTTTTAAGTAGATGATAACCACGTTGTATTTTGAGTTCAATAAGCTTTGCTTTGCTTGGTGTCATCCTGCAAGAGGATGCTCAAATAAGAACCGAGATGTGAATTGTCAAGCAGGTTTCAGTGGTTGCCCCTTGCGGCTCCTACGCCGTGGGCTTGTATTGGGATGGAGTATTTTGTCATTAGTTGTACGTATTACTTAGCATATGATCGTTACATTTAACAAATAACGGCCTCCTGTTGTACATTTAAGCAATGTATCGTATTCATGCTTCAGGCTTGCAACTTGTCCACAGCTTTGCTTGCAGCTGTTGATGCCCTGCCTCTCATTCATTCACATGTTTTCACTCATTCTTTAATGTTCATATGTATTATGCATAACACCCGTGAGCCTTTAACCCCCTTGCCTGTGCTTACCACTCTTGCTAATACACGTGTGTGTAAAAAAAAAGTGTGTGTGTGTTCACGAGAATTTCGTTCCGGTGTCATGAAAACTTTTTTCATTAAAATATATTGGAAACTGTGGCATTGCTTCATAATCAAGGTTTTTTTTGGGTTAGATCGCGTAAGTATAAATGTGTTGTAGCCCTATACCACCCGAAACAGCCAGTAAGGTTTGTCACGTAAACAACGCTCCAATTAGTTACTCCTTCAGTCCACCGGTGTGTTGGAGAGTAAATCCACAACATTTACAATTTGAGTAGTACGACGTTTCGCTGATAATTACATCCAGCATCATCGAGCGATTTGCCAGAATATTTATACTTACGCGATCTAACCCCAAAAACCTTTATTATGAATAATATTGGTCGCGAAAGCCTACGTGTTAAACTGTGGCATTGCTTGCTGCTTTTTATACATTGCACACGTTTGAGTATGCAGCAGGGTGAAGCCATTCAAATGCAAGCCGCGCGTGCGCCAGTTGGAAATTAACAAATCACGAGTGAAAAATGTATACATTTTAGCTTATGTAATACCTATTTTGATTTTCTCTCGGAAAATTGCTATGTAGTCGTTTCTCCAATTGACAAAGGAATCCATGTCATGAGGCTAAAGAAATCTATTAAGTTAATGCTACAGTTTGTTTAGTATTGTGGCACCAGCATGGAGTTCCTCCCGTGTGTGAGTGAGTGATCGTATGGAGAAGACTTGGCACCCGCCCCCCACACCAATGAGCCTCGTTTCTCCCCAGCTGTCGACTCGACTTGCGTTGTTGACACTCGTGCTTTCGACTGTCACTTCCCGGCAGACCTGAGGAAGCAGCCGTTCCGCCGCACTGTGCGTAAGAAGAGCGAGGAAGCCACCAGCCCCACGGCCTACTCCACTGATGTGTGAAGCCCGCGCGCTGCTGCCACCGCTGCCACCACCGCTGCGCTTCCTTACCACGACCAGACTCGTTGTTGTACGTCGTCTGTGCCCTCTACAATTTACGGACCTCCCCACTTGAAGCCCTTCTGCGACAAGCAAACGTGAACTATTCAAACGAATCCGTAATTTGACCACTGTGCTCCTGAGCCATCGACTGGGCCCGCAGAGTTGTGCAGTAAGCGCGGTTGGCTGCCATCAGCCAGAGTCGTCTGGATGGTGTCCCGTGGTCCAACTATTGCACTCCAGGTTGGATAAAGCATGTCCGTGGGGGGCACTTCCAGTAATTCGGGAAGCACAATACAAATTCATCGTTTAAAGTTGTGGGCAGAAATCCGCTTGGCTCATCATCTCTCCAGGTTCTGTAAATGTATGGCCACTTTTGGATGTGATTGTGGAATTTTATCCACCGGCTCAGGATGGACAATGGAGATTAGTACCAACGCAATGCTCGTTTGAGAGCATTTTGGAGAAATTGGCCAAAGATAAACGTGGGCGCTTGTTTCTGTAAGGCTCAGCTTGTTTGAGATCGGCCACAGTAGGACGTCAACTTTTTCATGACAAATTTTATAGCACGAGTCCGTATAAATTGTCATGGCGAGGTATTTAAAGGGGCTTTTATGAACATGCAACTCGAGTGCAAAAAGGCTTACCTGGTAAAATACCCAAGCAATATTCCTGCTGTCACTCAGTAGAGTATATTTTTTTAGATTAAAACAGTGCACCTGAATTTTTCCCATTGAATGAATGAACAACTTTGGTTTCATATTGCACCTTGAACAGTTAATATATTTGGCAGCTCTTTTTCAATACAGGATGGTCTTCACACTAAATTGACTTTCGCCTTTGGAATGCCTGTGCATTCATTCGTTGACCTGTAATAGGTGACATTGCAATCGTCTGGTCTCAGCGCTAAAATTAGAATGCATCTTAACAAATTAATCTTTTAGTTTCATAGCAGCAAATTAAAAGTTCGGCATGAAGGCAATGTGAATTCCTAATAGTCCAATATGCTGTATTTATGTGCTTGATGTGCAAGCTTTGGTCCATGTGAATTGCATAAAACAACGGCCCATTTAGTTAAAAAGGTTATTGTCTAATGCTGCACTTTTCATGGTTAACTGTATTTTGTATATTTTTGGTGATGCGTATTTTGTTATATATAATGCTGCCATTTTAAAGTGTTTATATTATGACTTAAAAAATATTGGATTTTATTTTTGTCAATTGTTTTAGTTTTGGCTTTACAGTGTATATTTTTTTTACAGAACAATTGTCCATACCACACGAGTGCCTTATGTCTTGCGTTTTCAATAGCTTTATGAAAGATGAAAATTGCACTATATATTAATTGACGTTTAACAAACTCTTGTCCTCGAAGACCTCACAGGGCAGCGTTGACTCGCATATTAATGATAAGGGTCCCTCATTAGTCTCCACTACCAACCATCGTACTATCGACGTGTCCTGCGCAAGCCCCCACTTGTCTTGACAGTCAATATGGTTTGCCCACCATGCACAATTCACTAACAATAACGGAGTTGCAACCGACGCGGAGGGTACCAGAGATGGAGCGATGTAATCAGCTCGTGCTAGATGTGGTACAACAGTTTCACATGTCATGCTTAGCTGTGGGGAGTGGTAGCGGAGCGCGCCAACTACGAACCCGGCGACCCGAGTTCGATTCCCGCTTACGGCCACCAACACCAGCCACGATTATCTGAACCGGTCCTGGCCCTCGTCTAAGTCGACTCAGCCTCAAATGAGTATCTGGTGTGGTGTGTAAAGATCACCACTAGGGAGACAAAGGTGGCCGGGCGTTGTGCTGGCCACCCACCCCCTCGTGTGCTGTGCCGGCCTTCATAGGTGGTCACGAACAGCACTTGTCTCTAAAATGTTTTGGCTATATGGGGGATCTTGTCTTTGTCACAACAATGGCCTGGGTGAGGCCTTTATCCAGCAGTGAATTGATTATGGAGGGTGATGATGATGGAGAAGATCAGGAGTTGGGAAGGCTGCATCGTGGTGGGCCCGCGAGGACTGGAGTTTGAGAAACTCGGCTATCGACCATAGAAAGCTTAAACGCCTCGTAGAAACGAACTCAAATGGCCAAATCAGAAATATTCAGATACGTAATAAACATTCATTTTTCAATTGTTGTCTCCTGTGATGTTACAACTGCACTGTTGCACTATCAGTACCGCATTCACATGACTCTTGAGAACATCAATCATTGGGACATGTATCGGCCATCATTTGTCTTAACTTTTATTTCCCACCTGTATCGAAGCATTCGCAGTTATGTGATTCATCCCCCCACCCTCCTGACGATTTGTTGAAATCTAGAAATTCAGGATCACTATTGGATCCATTGCTTTAACAAAGTGATGGACATGCAGTCGTGGCTGACAGGGTCATGTGAAGCCATTGTAAATTAGGAAATCATTGGTTGTCCTGCTTTTTAATGAACTTTTAAGTGTCACGAGCTTTTGAATCATTGATCCGACCATGAATATTCCCTCAATAAACTGGATAGTTACTGACGGTTATGCAGTTTTGCCATTGGTCAGCTCTTGGTTAAGTTCCAATGCCGATTCAAACATTTGATTACCTTTCCGAACGTTAATGTTTAGATGGATTATATTCTCATTCATTCCACATTTTCACAGCGTCCAAGAATCAACACATTTTGAAAGTGAAATCATCTGACAAAAATAAATCATACAGTTAATTTATCTTAAACTACGTAGAAGGGAAATAATAAAATAATACAAATATAAAACAATACAAATTCTCACGACGTTTCGACTGCAACACAAGAAATCATCAGGTGTGAAATCCACAGCAAAATATTCTGATGATGATTGCTTGTGTTGCAGTCGAAACGTGAGAATTTTTATTGTTTTATATTTGTATTATTTTATTATTTCCCTTCTACGTAACTTTACCGAAAGAACCAAGAATATGAATCCCTGCAATCACGAAAGCTTTAAATAAAAATGTATCTTAAACTGTTTAGATACTAATCAAACTAGCTGCATTGCAGCCTTAACATTTTAAACACATCAGAAGCCAGATGATTGTATGGACCATTACCCCAAACCACAGCATCTGCTTTGCGTAAACTTTTCTTCAAGTTCTGACAACTGAAGAATAAAACCTTTAATTCCTGTTCTTCAAAACCGCTTGTCGTTTGTTTAACGCGTGCTTTGTTTCGCTCTCTGTGCAGTGCTGTGGCACATTTGTTGACGCATATATCCGCACCTCCGATTAGCACGGTCGGTTACGTACGGTGCGATAGAAGTTCCGACTGGAGTGACGCGGCGCTGCTTGCCGCCGGGCCGTTTTGCCACGAGTGAGCAGCAGCACTTTGTGCAGTCCACTACATCAGAGGATTGGGCCAAAGCGATAGCACTACTCAAACCCAAGGGTGGCACAGTCGGGTTTTTTACAATCGGGTTTAATTGTCTTTTTATATTAAACCCGATCGTCTGAGATTGGGAGAAATCCGGTTTAATTGGTTCTAATTGCAGAACCGCACTTCGCCAACTTCTCAACGATGGGCTTCATCCATTCCAAGCTAAGGAACTCACTGGCGCCCACGATTGTGGAGGAGAAGCTCGTGTTCATCAAGACCAACCTGCCCGCCGCATTCTACGACTACCCCGTGCCCGACGGCCCCGAGTACGATAGCAGCACTGACGAGGAAGCAGGATCAGAGTTTCGTATTCATTAAACCAGGTTGTAATTCCCCGAAATCGGGTTTAATTGTATTAAAGAAAAAACCCGGTGCCTGCCGCTGGAAAAATCGGGATTTTTCCACCCATGCTCAAACCACACAGAGACAAGGACTCTGTCAATCTTTACCACCCATTGTTCTCACTGCTCATCCTACACGCTATACGAGCGGATGATAATTGGTAGGAGAGTGGCAATAATGAAAGAGCAACTTACTGCTGATTATGCCGGTTTACACTCGGACCGTTCATGCTGTGGCCAAGTCGCACCAAATTACAGGGGCATTGTTTGCTGATTTGTTAGCCGTATCTGATGGTTGTGTAATCGATTACGGTAATTGGGCTGCCCCAACGTTTAATGTTAGCACCCTTGTGATAGGAATATCCTCCTGACATGACGTGCCATTGCGCTGTATGCCAAGTGTTCTATCAATCTGGTCAAACTTCTTATGCAGCAGTGTCCACAATATATATTGTCAAGGCCCTTATCACGAAGTGCTTAGTCCACAATATGTCCACTGCCGCCGCATGGTCAATTTGCCAAAGTAACCCCCCCCCCCTGTTAATTTTTTGCCCAGTGGCAGGTCGACGGCTCATCTGATATCCCCGCTGCCCACTTCACCTCGCAACCCCATAATCCGCACGAGGGTCCTTAATTCGCAGCCAGAAAAGGAGAGTTCAAAATTATTTTACACCGTCAATCCACGTTGCAGGTGAACGGCCCACGCAGGGCAACTGTTAGAGTCGAGTGAATGTTAAGAGACCCCAGTGAAATGATGTGCACGAGTTCCGCGTTGTACGCTGGTTATCATCCCAAACCCGAAATGTTTTGAAATGGTGGAATTATTGTCGGGATATTCATGCGTTTTAATTGAATGTATAATAATAACAATTCTTTGGTCAACTAAAGCATTATGCAATTTTATTTTCCTTTATAAACACTGCCATTAGTGCTGAACCATTTTATTGCGAGCTAAAGATTTGGTTAAAAAACAAATGATGCATTCTTTGGCCAGCGTGCATGCCAATGTGGAAATAACATCTTAAAGGTGAGTCTGGCTGCCCACGTTAGGATTTTGCCAGAATTAGCAACCCGTCTGAATGAACTAAAAGCCTCCCATTGTGTTCGACCCAGCCTAAATATATACATATTGTACATGATGGACTTAAGACCGCATGGCCTGCACGGCGTGCCAGTGATTCCGGTATGACGTCGACTGGAAGGAATGAACGCGTGATTTAGATGTTGGTTGCCTCCACTCGTGCCTCCTCCACTCGTGCATCCATGCACTTTCACTTTGGTCACATGTGGTCCCAATGGGGGCAGGGTGCTGATTCCGGTCTTTACTGTGGCACATACGGTATGGCTATACACATCCATACGATATAGACACATTCCAGTGGAGTTGATGAATACAAGCCTTAGAAAGGCACACCGTGTGAATTTATCCTGCTGGGACAGCATGCATTGCTTGAGTCTATTTATGGCATCTGTGCAGATTGTAAGTATCCTGTGCATGACTTTTTTTGTTTGTTGTGAACAGGTACAGCCCTTTGTCAATCCAAACTCAACCCTGCTCAGCTTCCAGTGTCTGATGAGATTGGGCGCATTCCGAGTGAATTTGACGTAGGCCCTCCAACAATAATTCCCAGAACTTAGCTGAGCAAACATCCAAGGGAGTGCCCTACGCAAAAGTCTTGTTGAGGTTGCCCGGGTCAATATTTTAGGTTACTATTATACGTACATACAAGAATATTTAAACTGGGACGTTTTAATACTTTTCATATTGCAAGCATGTATGTGTTACTGAAAAATAAACTTAATAACAGCACTCTATCAATCCACTCTTGTGTGAGGGCCCACAAAGGTGTTTCAGTCATGGAGTTTTTAAAATTCATACTTCATCTCGTTGGTTATTGCAGGTTCGTGAAGGGGGTGGTGCTCAGGACCGGTTGCGATATCACCACCAGCTGGGATTTTTTACCAACCCGCACTGATCACAGTTGTGCTATATTATCAAACAACCCCATGGCGGAAGGTGGTGGAGTCGATTGACAAAGATATACTGTATATGAATTATTTTCATTTTTATTCACCGTTACGCATGTTTTAAGTCTTGCACTCATCTGTTTTACTTGTCCCTATCTATTGCTCAAGATACGATTTATTTGAATTTATGTTTCCAAAACAATTCGCTGCGGAAAGTCCCAGCAAAACCCTTATCCGCAGGTCTTCTCGGAACGACAGAATACTTGGAACGACAAACACTGGCGAACGACTGAGCCAACACTAAATGCAGGGGCCATTTGGCCTGCACTTTTGCATTTATTAGGATTTCTTGTGAAAACAGAGGTTTTTTTTAAATCAAGGTTAGCATTTTGCACACGTAGTTTAATTACATTTGACTACATTTGGTATACGTGCCATTCTTATCGCACAGGGCTATCACGAACACGGAACACCGTATTTTTGACAGACAGACAAACATAGTCTGCCAGTGAGGTGTGATGTTGCTATGTGTAAGTACTTTGCCATGTCATTATTTTTTATTTGGTAAATTTGAAAGGTCACGTCAGTACACAATAGCCTACTTGTTTACTTTAGCCCACCGGTGTGTTGAAGAGTGAATCCAAAACATTTACAATTTTACTGGTAGGAACCTCCTGGTTACACCAGCCCACAGGGGATTATTGTGTCCGTCCGTCTGTCCGTCGTGCATCCAAAAATTGGAGGGGTGGGGCTGGGTGGAGAGGGGAGGGTGGGGAGGGGCTGGGTGGGAAGGGTGGGGAGGGGCTGGGTGGGGAGGGGAGGGTGGGGAGGGGCTGGGTGGGGCTGGGTGGGGGGAGGGACTGGGTGGGGAGGGGCTGGTCACCCCGTGGTGCCCTTATAAAACTCAACGTTTAGCCCTCACAGTCGGCCATATTTGCGGAATACACCACGCCGCCGTTGACCCTGGCCATTGACCGAGCAACCCAACGTTCCTACCAGCTCCCTCCGCAGGAATGTGTTTGAGTAGTACGACGTTTCGCTGGTAATTACATCCAGCATCATCGGACAATTGCAATTGCCCGCAATGCACGTGAATACGAGACCAGTGGTCCTTCATAGATGACGTCACGAAGCGGCATTCATGAAAGAGCCGCATGTGGTTCCTGAGCCGCAGGTTGCCGACCCCTGCCCGAACAACGAGGGATGACTCTAGTAAGGTGATACCTGATAATTGTTTTTTTTTTACCCTTCTATCTGGCAACAAAACTGACACCTTTTTTGTTGCCAGATAAAAGGGTAAAAAAAACCCAATTATCATATTTTTTACTGGCAAATGAGGTTCCAATGGTGTAAAGGTGATACCTGTAACTGCCTTGGTGGCGGTGCCGGATTAAGCTAGTGCGGGGCCTGTAGCATATGTTATAAAG